CCCTAATGCCAGGTCTCACTGCTCTCCTCCCTGCACCAACCCAATAACCTCCTTTACCTTACTTACGCATGACTTTCTCAGCCCAAACAGCACTGCCACCTTCAACCAAACCCAGGCTCCGTACATGCGAGCTCTAGGTAGAAGCAGGGCTGATACTACCTTTCCTAGCACATTCACCACACTCTATTTCACACGCTACATAGCATAACTACATATATATATATATATATATATATGTATGTATATATATATATATATGTATATATGTAGTTATGTCTGAAGTGTTTTACCTGAGAGAAGTGGTCCCAAATGTGCCTTTCTGTGTGTCCAGTAAACACTGTCTTTAACAAACTTAGTAGAACATTTGCATTACTCATGTCACTGCCTTGGCAAAGCAAAAACCTACAACATAATTGATGGCAAATTAGATTCTAAATACAATTCAAATGACCTCTTTATAAAATAAGCAGGTAGTTATTTTTATTGACTGCCTCTCTGGGTACAGCTTTTATCATCTGTCTCCATTTAAACTTACCTAAGTTGCATATTCACTGACAGTTGTTTTTGATTGGACAAATACAAATAAATTATACATGTATTTTGTTGTGAAATGCCATGTATCGCAGCATGCTAAAATTCTGACCATGCATAACTAATGGCACCTTATACATAGACCATTTGGTTAGTGTTGGCTACTATGTAAACCAGTGTTATTAAGGCATGGCCCCGTAAGGTTTTGTGTCAGCATGGAGACAAAGTAAGAGAAGTGATAATGAGGTAACAAAACATTTTATGTTTTTATGTTCTGATTATAGCCAGATGTTTGTTGGATGTTATGTTATTTTTGAGGCTGATACTGACATAGGTATTTGGAAGTTTTTTTTAATAAAAACATAACATAATCAACAATCTGGATACAGATTTCTTTGGTTGGTTTTGTACAGTAGTGCTACGTGACCTGCATAGTTACCAGGCCATTCTACAGTCAAAACAGTAACTCGTCATTTACCTCTGGTGGACAGTTGGCATGGTGACATAATTGGTTTTGGTTAGGGGTGTACAAATGTTTTTGGAAAGAGGGCCACATTAGTTAATGTGAAAATACCTGGGGACCAGCTGCTCCTCCCATCTAATCAGTTATTGGAAAAAAAATCATACAAATGAAAGATATTCGTCTTTCAGTGAAAAGGTATTCAACTTTCCACGGCTGCTGAAAGCCCTCGCTGTTGACTTTTATTTGTTTTATTGTTTTTGCTGTGGCCATGTCTGCTAACTAGCCAAAAATGTCTCTAGGAAACCATTTGTTTGCTACTTTAGCACCTGTTAATGAAAACACATTAGTTCCTCCTGCATAGTTTCTACCTGGTGCATGTGTTTCTACCTGGTGCATGATAGTGCTGCTACAGTGAAAAATGCAAAATGAACTTGCTTGATTAACCAATATTGTGTGGCAGGCTACATATTTTGAGAAACAAGTCACGGGACATTTAAAATCGGTCTGTGGGCCATGACGGGCCCCGGGCCAGACTTTGGACATGCCTGGTTTAGATCTAGCTCTAATCCTAATGAGAAATATTGTATTGAAGAACTGTAGTGTTGCTATTTGTTGGTTGTGTGGAAATACAGAGCTGCCACAGTAAGGAAAATGTGATTTTACAGCATCTTGTTATAATGGTTTTCTTTTTCTTTTTTTTAATTAACACATTTTATTGCAATAGTACAGTAACAAAAGTATTAGTATTATGAAGAATGTTAAACCCAGTTTTCTTGTTCTAACAGTATATATTGTCATAATTAGGTGTTAAAATGGGAATCTTTATATAAGTATTGTCAGTATCAGTTGTTAAAATGGGAAAAGGATCTCAGAAATAACTGCTCTCATATCTGGATGCCTGTAGAATTTTCAGCGTGGTCAAATACACGGTTATGTTATGCCATCCATCTAGTGCCACTCATCACTAGAGCCAACTGCTCGGCCACTCATGTCAGAATATGGTTGCATACCTACCTTCAAAATAAGCCCCGTTAAATGATAGCCATAATTATCCGTCAGTGTGCAGTGAGGCCCAGAGTTGTCACAGTGTTGAAGAAAATGTCTAGTAAGGCATTGTCAGTTTGTTCATACCCAGAGCTGTAACAGGATTCAACAGCATAAGACAGACTGAAAAAGGCACAGTGGGAACATCTCTACATTTTGCATCTTGAACAGAAGAATAGAATTAAAAATACAATTTTCATTCATTTAGGTGTGCAAACTCTGTATGTACTTATAGATGAATTTACAGCAGAAAGTTTTAAATATGCAGTCCAGGCGTAGGCAGGTAATTACTGTAATTGCCCTTCTCTAATGTACCTTAACATATTATTATACATTATTAAACTGCCAGATTACTGGAGATTGTAATGGACAAGAACATTAATTCAACACAGATGCTCTCTTGACAGAATTAAAATAATTTGAGATCACAGATAAGCATATATGTTGGTAAAATCACCCATCAGTCGTGCCCAAATGGGACTTATATGTTGAAACTGTGTATAGCGATGGATGATATTTGTGACTTTGTCCTTGCTGCCTCTTTAAAATATATTTTTCTTTCTGTTACATTTTCAGTTATTAAGATACTGAGATCATTCCAGTCATAACATTTCAGGTCTGGAGCCATCTACACCTCCATTTCAACAACAGCTACTGTACATCACATCCCCAAAACTTCACAACAGTATCAGTGTGTGTGTAAGACGAGGCCAGCCTTCTGTATGTCGTAGTTCTTTACATACCAGACATGTATGATCCCCTTGTAGCCACTGTAAGATGTCACTGGTAGTATCTGTCATACACACTAAGTCCCATGATGACACACATGTGCATGCATTCACACAGCGATGCATCACTCTGTGTTGCGCCTTTGGCTTTTGATGTGTGCCGCTATTCATATTAATCATGCACCCTACTGCAACAGTTCTATAAAAAGGTCTCCTTATAGTAGGAGGCAGGCATCACATATGGGTACAGTTAAGTAAACATGGCACTCTGTATCATTTATCAGTGCCATTTAAGTTATTTATGTTTCATATAAGTGCTGTAAAGCATTTGCCAAGGTCATTAAGTCACTCAGCTGGGAGAAGTTATGTTCCCACATGTTGGTTTCTTGGGCTTTGGCTTAAACATCTTTCTGAACATGACAGGCAGTATGTGTTGATTTGATTTAAACGTTTACTGTTTTTTACAGTGCGGCATAGTAACTCAAGAGACAGAGCCTGTATGCCTGCTATTCCACAGCACTGAAGAGAAGATAGCATGGACTCTTTTGGAACTTATATCTCTTTTAGCTGCACTAAATCACAGACAGTTGAAGTATAATTTCTGTTCACACTGAAAACACTAATGTATAAAACAAGTCCTACATTTATGTGTCAGATGTTAACGCAGTATTTTTTGTCTTGTTGAAGCAGTTAGTCAGAAATGCCCTCATAGTCTTTCTGTGATGTTTCTAATTCTCTGGATCAGCTTCTGTTAATGATTCATCACCATGCAGTATTATATGTGTATCCACTTTCTAACACTCCTGTCTTATTTAGTGTGACTGGGGGCCTATCCTGGCACACTGGCAACACCTTTTGTCGACAGTCAGTCACACGTCTATACCACTTAATTGAGCGTAGCGTTAGATCAGGCAGGACATGATGTCAAGCTCAGCTCACATCCCAGCTACATCAGCTGATCTCAAACAGCCAATCAACTGATGGATCAGCTGATTGATGGAAGGGGGTCAGCTGATAGATCACACGATTCATTTCTATGCAACCAATTGAAAAGTCTCATTCAGGGCGCCCTATTTAAACTGCTCTGGGCTGCCTACTGTTGCTGTTTAATCTGCAAGCCACTTTGCAACCCGCCTCCACCCCAGCTCCTAACCCATTCTGTGTCTGACTTATCAATGTCATCTCTGTTTGTCATTGATGCTTCTCTGTTCTGTTCCCGGGGGTCTTTGCTGCTGCTCTCTCTGCCTTAGGCTTTCCATGTAGGCACATGGAGGGGCAGGGAGTTTTGCTCTTTCTGCCTCAGGCTTTCCTCATTTGCACATGGATTGGCAGAGAGGTGTGCTTTCTTTGCCTTAAGGCTTTCCATGTAGGTGCGTGGAAGGGCGGAGTGGTATGCTCCCCCCACCTTAGGCTTTCCATGTAGGCACATGGAAGGGCAGAGAGGTGTGCTTTCTTCTCCTTACGCTTTCCACGTAGGTGCATGGAAGAGGCTTTCTGTGTAGGCCCATGGAAAGGCAAAGATGCCCCAGAACAGAGCCATACCGGCAAATATAATACTGAAAATGGAAATATAATTTTCTTTAACTAAAATGTTCCTTACTGAACCCTGATAATCAGATTAATTGCCATTTTAGTTCACTTTATATGAATCAGTGAACAAATCAGCAGTTGTTCTGAGTTCTTGGGTCTAGGACCAGGCTAATGCCACCTTATTTTGCCCATAAATTCATAAATACACTATAATTCAGTTCATCCGCATGGCTGTCAGTTTTAATGTCCAGGAGGTCTACACTTCAGCCCTCAGCCTAGGGTTTCTCAAGATTGGAAAATGAAATGTGTGAAGTTTAAATTGAGCTGACTTGCAGTCATTTGCAGTATGTCAGCAAACAGCATTCCCACTCCTAAACATTATTAATCTCTTCAGACTCTCCCTGCACAGAGATTTGGGCTCTTTGTCGTGTGAACCTATTGACCTTGTGGGCAACGTAAAACTGCCTGATTCCCAAAATAACTGTTTATATTTGAGATTTGATAGCAAAAGAGTTTACGCAAAAAATGAGATTGCCTCCTATAATTGCAGTGAGTCAATTATTTATTGAGTAGCAGCCTCAGGAAGATCTTTGTGTAAAAGCAAAGCACTTGAAAAGACGATAACTTTGACTCTTTTAGTGGGTCAATTAACTGTTCTAGAGACATTTATTGTTTTTCTGAAACACTTTGTTTTTGTTTTGCAGGAAAGTGTGTCTCCCTGCTGCGTATCAGTAAGAAGTGCTCTTCAATATGAATACAGGTATTTAAGTTCATGCACACACACAAACCATACAATGTGTGAGATTGTTGGGGAATCGTCCACTCAAAGTCCATGTCTATTATTTTGTGTGGTAAAGCTGATTAAGTATTTTGTTTTATTTTTGCAGTCTATCTCATATTTCTTTGTCAAAATCACCTGCTCATAAAACTGTTGTTTACATTTGATACTCTCCTATATAAAGTCAATATGCTTCTAAAATTCAGACCACCGAGCTATTTTAAAAGCTGCTATGTGTCCTAGTTTCCCTCGACCACAGGCATGAGTCTATAATTCTAACCCTGACCCTGTTTCACCACTTTGATGTGATTGTCCATTTCGGGCCTGGTTTATTGTGACTGAAAGCATCAATAAGAATAGTAAGCCTGTTGCTTTTAACCACAGTGACGTATTCCTCCCTCAATACATTCCAAAAGCTTTGTCCTAAACTTGGCAGTCATCCCAAGTTAAAGTGTGTATTGCAGCCGGAGAATCAATGATGAGTAATCCGTCTCTGAGCCTTCTACACACACCGCACTCCACCACACGCTCTGTGTTGGTGCCAGTCGTAGCTTGAATCATCTTGGTTGTTTGCCCGTATTTACAATATAGATAACACAAAAATAGCTTTGCCATGTGTTGAAAAAGAGCTAATAACACAACCAGAATTAGACCAGAGTTTGAATCACAGATTTTAAACCACCTGTACTGTCTAGGGGCCTCATTGCAGAAACTTGTTTAGTCTGAAATCCTGTTTTATCTTAGTTTAGGGTGACATGATAACATGTGTCTTAACTCAATCCTATCTTATCTTAGGATAAGAATTTAGCTATCCAAAACCATCCTAATTTAGGATTCCTGCCTTGGGAAATCCCTAAATTAGGATGGCATAGATAGACCCTGTCCAGCAGTCAAAATAAGTACCAAAAATGTGTCTGTATTGCAATGACAATTAAGATGGGAACAATATAAACACTGAAATATAATGATTGAAAGGCTACTCAAACTGTATGACGACACTTTAAAGTTCAATACTTCAAGTACATTAATTAGTTATTTAATTTTAATAATAATAATTTAATAATTTCTTTTTGGTTCATAGTAGCAACCTAGCCAGCCAGTAACAAGTGAGAACCATTGATATTATGGCTTGTCTATCCCGAATAGACTGCTGGTACATTCTAATCAAAGACATAGACATGACAGGATAAGTGCCGGCTTGGTTTTTGTTTTAACTGGCGTGCATAATGGTGCTTATTGATTGTTTTTAATGCCTCTGTTTATGCTTGCCATCATTGAAAATGAGGGTCTCACTCAGTTGATTTCCCAAGCCTTAAATAAAGGTTTGAATGAATAAATGAATGAATGAAGAATCGAGTTAACAGTTACAGTTTGGATTTCTTAAGATAAGATAGGAGGTCTGACATGTTCCCTTACGTTAAACCCATGTATCACATTAGTGTCACTCAGGTCATGATATTGTTTGTGATTTGTTAAAACTAATTCAGGGTAATCCAGTTTAAAAGGTCCAGGTCTTGCCATCATGAGCATACTGTTCTGTCAGAAATGGGTAGGCTAGTGTAAACTACTGCAACATCTGCTAACTTCTGCTTTATAATTACATTTTTCCATTGTACTACACACTATTTTGAGCTCATACAGTAAAAAGCAGGCTCTTTTAAATGCATGTGCTTTTCCTCCACTTGTTTGCATTATATTTCTGCCTGGATGCAATTGTGTGCGAGCGCATTTGTGTCTTTGTGTATATGCATGTGCATGTTTGCTACTGCTTCTGCCTCTGTGATCACCCGCCTGGCTGTGATTTCTCAGATAGCGGAGGATGCTCTCGCAAAAGCGTGGCCTTGTCACTCATGCTCTCTCCCATGAAGAGGGTCCAGAGCTCACCAAATCTAGGCACAGGTACTAACACTCAAAATACACACTACATATTAACACGTTTGAATAAGAAGAGTGTAACAAATAGCTAAAATACAGGCCGCTTCAGGAAATCACTGGACTAAACTCTCAAAGCATGAGGTAAGTCTCAGTGGCTTGTTGTTTTGCAGAGATCATGTTTGGCCCTCATCAACCTGATATGGCTTGAGCATGTTTGAAATACTTTCAAATAGGCTGCGTCAGTATGCTTAAGCAATGTTTAGACTGTGGTACGCTGTGTTTTTCTAATCAGTTCATTGTTTAATCCTTTTATTTCCTTTTGTTTAGTCTCTCTGGTCTTGGGCTTGTTTTTGCTTCCTAAATCAGTCATAAATTATACTGCATCTACCTACCTGTTGTTGAATCTTCCTTCCTTTTGACAGCTCTCATATGTCATGCTCTCACACTGCTCCATGCTCTCTGCCCCTCTTTATGGGTAGTTTACTCTACTCACCCTGTTATCTTAGATATTTCTTCCACTACTCTTTTTCCTCTGTCAGTATTGATTGGTGAGACATGACACCGCTCCCTAAACTCTTGAGGAATGTGGAAATTTTTTGGATGGGCTTATGTGTTGCCTAAAATGGCACCATTCTGTTTGATTCCTCCTGATGAGTGTTTTAGTTTCAGGCAAGCACCTCACAGTAGATCTGCTCCATGTCTCAGCCCCCTCATCCTAAAAATGCTGCCTATTTTGTTTCACACGTAACCACAGGTCAAGTTTAGATTAATGACTGAGGAGATTTTTACATATCACCAGGCAGAGCTGAAGCTAAAATATATTCTCAGCTTCTAGAAGCTACAGCTGGTCGTCCCCAGCTGCCTGTTCCTTTGCTCTGCTGAAAAGGCAGTATGCATGTGCCTGGACTATGTCAGCATCCAGGTTAACTACTGCACCCATGTCAGCATTCTAGAACTGTCAGCTCCCTTTTAACAATAACAGGACACTGCCTAAAAACTGATGAGCTGTTGCCAGGTATAGAAGGTTTAGGAGCATGGTAGGACTGATCAAACCACCACCCAGAGGGCTTTAGGATCATGTGTGTAGGCACTAATGCATTATTGTGCAGGAGACATGCAGGCGTCAGCTTCTGAGGGACCCTCAGCCTTGCCCGGGGTGTACACAGTACACCCACCTATGCTGTTTAGCATACTGTTATACTCTGAGTCTACACTCCAAAATCTGCAATGCTGTTTCCTAGAAATACAGAAAGCACCCTTGAGCCATCTCCACTGGTGAAACAAGCTGTTACAGTGGAAACTGCTTATAGTGATCACAGCTACAGAGATCAACTGCTTATATGGATCAAAGAGCTTCAGACAGAATCATTCCTGTACAAATGCTGTTTAGATAATTCACTTGTAGTCCACTAACAGTATTCATTTAGGGTCTTTTCATTAGGGCTGCAATGATTAGTCGATTAGAAAATTAATTACCAACTATTTTCATAATCAGTTACTCATTTCAACCATTTTTTCGAGCAAAAATGTCAAACATTTGCTGGTTCAAGCTTCTTAAAAGTGTCAATTTACTGCTTTTATTTGTCATTTATGATAGTAAATGTAAATGAGTCACTGGATTAAGGACTGTTGGTTGAAGAACAGAAGCAAAGTGAAGTTGCATTTCGGGTTCTGGGAAATTTTATGAGCATTTTTCACAATTTTTAAAAATATTTTGTGGACTAAACAATTAATCGGTTAATGGTGGAAATAATAATAATGGCGGATTAATCGATAATGAAAATAATCATTAGTTGCAGCTCTACTTTTCACTTTTCGTTTTATTACGTTTTATTCATGTAATAAATATACAGATGTCAGTGAGATAGTCATCTACATGAGAAAAAAGAAAGATATCGGCTATAATAATCATCCTTGTGTAGTTATTAATTTGACCTGGAGAGACATGATCACTATTAGCACGACCCACAGAGCTACAGCAGCCACCTTTATTGGAAATATGCCAGGTTGAAAGAAACCAAAATTATCCCTCAAGAAATCATTGCTCCGTGCACAGTGGTGTTTCTTCTTTGTAGATTTTAATCTCCTGTTCAATAATGGGGCTCACATTAGTGTGCTCTGGAGGATTTTTTCTTTTATTAGTCTTGGGAGTGAAGTGGTCTATCAAGTCTTAATGTGCATGTAATGCTTTAAGCACTCCTCCTCTCCTCCTCTCCTCTTTTACTGTACACAGCCTGTAGTCATTTCTTTAATAGATACTGCACATAAAAACCAACCGTCTGAAGAAAGCCTGCTTTCATACATATAATTTATGGATATATCTTTATTTGATACAGGTAACGTTGTGAGAGTTTAGCCTTTAGAAATCTGGAGTGTCTTTAGCAACAACAACTTGGACCTTAAATCATATCCAACTGTTAGTTTGCCCTGTGAGTGCATAGTATTTTTCAGTTTTCCATTTTACAAGGTTGTCAGGAAAGCAGCAGGTGATATTGCTCATCACAACAGGATAATCGTGCAGTGCTTAAGAAAGATTTTCTTGTTCTTTGCTCTTCTTCTTCAGAGCTCTGTCTATTCCCTTACCCCTAACACCACGTCTGTCTTTCTCACACAAAACATCCTCAAGCATTTTGTCAGATGACGACTACTTCAGATGACACCCTATGCAGTAGTATTGACATTTCTTGCAGGGATGAATGTGACCACGCCTTCACTCATGTCACTTATCATTGCTGTGTCTTCTCTGTTCCCCAGGGAGTGATTCTCACTCATCAGACTTGGGTAAGTCTCTGTTCCTTGTGGTGAATTGGAGTTAAGAATCTTTGAAGAAAATTAAAAAAAAAAAAAAGCTAGGAAACACCCCGTAGGAGACCAGTTAAACTTAAATAAAACACTGTAGTGTGTGATGTTAATATTTTGAACTTTGTCTCCAGATTCTTGGCGGTCACGCAGTGTAACAGATGGCCTTAAGAATGGAGACGCCAGCAGCTCTTCTCTCGCTGCCAAAGGCTTCCGCAGTGTCAGACCCAACCTGCAGGACAAAAAGTCACCAACACAGGTAAAATGTCTCACACATCACACTGACAGATGTTGGCATTTGTGTTTTTGCTTTTCTTTTTTTAATGCTATGTGTAGTTTAATCAGAAATTGGGGGGTTGCTTGTCTGTGTGAAAGGCATTTTCTAAACGACACCACAAACTATCATAATTATGGATAATTTACAGAGAACCATGTGGTATTTCTGAGTATGTGTATTTGGGACAACTTGATGATTTGCACTGATGATTTTTCTTTGTTGTTGTTGTTTGAACGTAACGTTGGCTGTTGCTTTCTAATTGGCCAATAAGGACATCAATCACGTGCCGTTGCCACCCCCCAGGAGAGAGAGTTTCTCCTTCTCACCCACAGGCACTAACCCGCCAGACTACAGCTCCCTCGTTGCCCTGGCTAATGATTTCAGCCCTGAAACGTTAACATTCACGCAGAACGAGAAAGCCGTTTTGAAAGAGTCCTACACTATTAAAAGCACATCTTCTTACTCCTACTCAGAGACCAATGCAAACTCAGTCCAGCAGGCACAGCAGTCCACTGTCCAGAATCATATCACCAATTGTATTGCATCTGCCGCTACTAATACACAGGCCCAGGAGCGTAAGGTGTCTTCCCTTAAAATAACCCCCGTCACCATCCCTGACCCCCCGGCTCACAGCAACTCTTACCGTGACCCCCTGCCTAAGACCCAGACCACAGGCTCCCCTCCACCCACTTCCCCGCCTCCACAGACAACCTTCTCACAGCCCCTGACACAGGCAGCCTCGCTCGCTGTCCACTTGGGCCCAGAGAATCCGAAACATCCACAGCGTCAGCCTTCAAACAACACAGTGGAGCTCAAGGTCCCAGATCGAGCCTCAAATCAAACCTCAAGTCCAGCTCCATCCCAGGTGGAGATGACGAAGGCTCCTGAGGTTCCACCAAGACCTTCTCCTGCACAGCTGTTGGTACATAACTGACTACATACTGTAACAACAGAGAGCAATGACTGTTTATTTTAAGGTCACTTTAATACAACATTGGCAGGTTTTTGTCTCGGTGATATCTTGAGTGATTGAAGGGTAACAGACTGGCTGCGTCCCATCATGTGACGCCCACACACACACAGCGTGCCATATAAACAGAAGAAGAACTCAAGATATCGTTGCCAGGATGTGCCAAACTCAGAGTTCAAATGTGATAAAGTTGCTGTTTTTCTGGTGTTTTGATGCGTGCGAACACTGGGAAGTCTGACAGTGACCCATGAGGTCACTTGCGTCGGGCCTTACATAGAAAACAAGAAGCGCAGGTGTTTTGATGCACGCCATATGCTGCTCGTGTGTGTTGCACTTTAGTTTGTCAGTCTTGGTGCTGTCATCCAATCAGCCAAACTAATTGTGGTTCTACATGTGTGAACTCATACTGTATGTGTGATAACCAACTGTTTTTATTTATTTATTTCATGCCAGTGTTACAGTCTGTATATTTGCTGCCTTCCTCAGAGTTTGAACTAACAGAGCCTCTTCATTTCACAGCATTAATCATGTTTCAGAAGGTGACGCTGCAGCCACAGGAGTGTGGTTTCACAGCAGCATTTCACCTTCTGTCAGGCTCACGTGTTACTTCCACACATCCTTTGTGACAACGTGGCTATTGAGTGATGTCACTAAGCACTCTCCTCCTTTCCTCCTTTTCCAATCAATTCCCTCTCCCTCCACCGCCAGGGGCCTCCCTCCCCCGACCCCACAGCACGGCACTCCCCCTATCGCTGCCACAGCTCAGAATCACTCGACTACCTGCCTGGCCTAATGCCCAAGGCGCTATCACCCACCCCGTATGTTCCTAGCGGAGCCGGTGCAGTCAGCAGGCCGAGCCTTCCCACAATCAGCAGTGCGAGCATCGGTGGCTGCGTGTCACCCTCGGCTTCCCCCGTGACGGTGTCAGCTCTCAGCCACTACTCGTCGTCCACGGCGGGTCTGCTGGACGAGCTGCAGATCTGTAGCCTGGATTCACCCGGCGCATCACCCACGCCATCGCCCACCCTCAGCCATGTCTCTGCCTACACATCCACTGCTGGCCCTGATGATGTGCTAACAACCTTTGCGGCCTCCACTGCTGCAGCAGCCACTGTCACTAACGTAATTATCCCAACAAGTCACTGCTGTAACACACATCATTACCAAAATCAAATGGTTCCTTGCCCCCACTCATTTGGATGGCTGAACCAAGCCTTCACAAAATGTGTCATTACTACCGAGTTTTTACCTTTCACTAACCATCAACTACAACCTAATGTTCCCTTATTATGTTAATGCGTCTGTACTCTATGTCTATGTGCTTCTCTTTGTTTCTCTGTTATGCCTTTTATGCAGTCAGTTATACTGTCTCTTAAGGCCAGTTCATATCAAAAATTCACGACAAGACAAAAACATTTTATAGTGAAGCTGTAGCAGGGTTATGTTGGAAGCTGTTGGCTGCTTGGTTTGTAATGTAACATGTGTGAAGACTGTAGTTATGTTTCCTGTCAGCTCGTTATATGTCCCTGGGAGTAGATGTGAGGAGCTCTGCAACAGAATGGTACGTCCTCATTTAATACGTTTCCATGTGCACCTTGTCTGCCCAGTTGCAACAAGATAGATACTGACGTGGAATTACCATTTTGTTAGCACTACATCATTGCAGTCGCACTGCCTTTTTTATTTAATTGAATGCCGCGAGTGAAAAAAAAAAACACTTGCTGCGTCTTTATTGTTGCCAGGCAACCACAGACTCACCTCCTTATTGTAGCCTTACCGTGTAATCAATCTACCGTTTATTCATTCATTTTAGTTATTTGACGGTAATTGGTATCTAGTTCCTAAAATGGACAAGCAGAGGGTTCTTGCTGTAGCTCTGGTTGAGGGTGAGAGGCTGTCTGTAAATAGTTTGTTGGGCACAGGGAAACAGAGATCTGTGTGGCTACATGTGACCTTAAAAAAGAGGGTGGATCACGGGGAGTACCACGAGTTGGTCCAGGAGCTTCGCCTCGATGATGGCCGTTTCCGGGCATATTTTAGGATGACTCGGGGGCAGTTTGACAACCTGCTGTCTATCGTCAGGCCGTATAGCTCTGGGTACCCAGGAACCGGTACCACCAGTTTTTCTTCCATTGTTTACCAACTGTAAACTTGTCGTCATGGCTACCACAGAAGGCCTGCCTCTCAAATCATCTGATTGGACAATGGGGAAAAAGATGAAACAGAGAGATGACTTGGGGCGTATTTCCAGTTTGAGTTGAAGTATTTTCAACTCAAGGAGTTCAGAGTGCTCTGGCATAAACGCCAGGCGCTTAGGGCGCAGAAACACGAGGTGCGTTGCAGTGCAGAATCCACAAGCAAAAAGCTTCATTCTCATTAAAAACAATTACAAAAAGGCACGTCCAGCTGCTAAAACAATTTCTGTGTGGTCAGGGCTTTAGTCTGACACTAGCTCCTTGTTAGCCAAGCATTAGCTTGGTCTCTTTCCTATCACTTACTCACTTACTTTACCAGCATCAGTACCACTGTTCCCTTAAAGGAATACTGATACCAAGAAAGTACAACATTCTGTGACCCCTCCTTCATTCGATACCCATTATGTTGATGGAAGCATTCCCTATGCCACCAGATGTCATAGGTGTGCAGTAGGGCATTAACGACTTTGATTTTTTTCAGGTCGACTTATCTGTCAATAAAGTCGAAGTCGAGTCGACAAGTCATTTGATGACGTCATCACATTGACACGGCGGAGGAAAGTGAAGTATCTCCACACATGTGATGTGTGTCTGTCAAGGCCCGAACATACTCGGGCGGAACGTATGCGGAATGGACTCTGTGGAGGTCCGCGCAGACTCAAAGCGGACGTCCGCGAGCCCTGTGCGCGCAAAGCTCAGATTTTATGACCGCGCCGCGCACAAGTGACTGTTCGGCATGTATTTTTCACATCGCGGGGATTTTTCACGGACATTTTTACAGGAAACTACAACGCGGAAGTGCTCTCAACTATGAAAGCCCGAATGACTGGAGTTGACTTGTGCCACTGACATCGACACATCGACAAATCGACTTTTCTGTTAATGCCCTAGTGTGTAGTATAGCTATACTTTTGAAGGTTTTGGTGGCATCTTGGCACAGTGAACTGCCAGCTCCATCAAATGCGCCATGCTTGACTTCACCTCATCGCAGACTGTATGAGTTGTAGCTGCTGCAGTAGTTGGCCAGTCACATGTCATATTAAATTGAAGAAACATTGCGATGATTGGCTGCAAGCAAAACCATACAAAAAGTCTTTATTTTCCTAGATCTGGGTACAAAAAGGATCAAATGCAGGTATTGTTTGATGGGAAAACATTGGATGAGACTTGGCACTGGGTTATTTCAGTCGATACCATACAGATATCCAGAACCAATGACCTAATTGTCACTGTTTACTCAAAGCATTGTGACTTCCATCCTTCCCTCAGTGCAGTTGAGTGAGAAATACCTCCACTGCATGGTGTTGTTCTACCAGAGATGCCATTCCCAGGTGCTGATTGGCTTGGTTGCTTCTCCAACCAAGAATATATCCATCCACAAGAGCAACACCAGACTCCTGGAACTAGGTGATAATAGACCAGCTTCAAACCCTTGGTTTGAAATTGTGAGCTGTGGCATTACAAACATAACAGCAGTAATCTGCTCACTGTCATCGAATTATCCATTTTGCTCTGTGCTTTAGCACTAAACAAGGAGGAAGTTAGAAGTAAGACATAACACTGTGTCTACACTGAAGGCGTAGCGTGAGCAGCACATTAGCAGAGCAGCAGCTTCAGGGATCCATCTGTGTCTACACAGGATGTGTTTGGCAGAGTTTTGCGTGTAGGTCACCTGTGTTTTGGCATTGCTCAGAGCCCAGATTTGACTTAAAGAGGAAAGATGTGCTTTGGGTCACAGTTGCACACGTATAAGGTGAGTAAAAGACAAGCAGTCACGCATCCTGTGTACAGCTGGATTGTTTAAAATAGAAGCTTATCTGTTCTGTCAGACGTGTGTGAGACAGTGGCAGTAAGTAAGTGTTGTCACCTCAGTGTTTGTCTGTTTTAGTGCGAACTGACGCCATGGTGTTTTTTGAGAGTTACTCGTTGGTTTAAGACTTATCATGAATCTTTGATCTAAACACACTGGCCTTAAAATTAAAATCCTGTGTTTTTATCCTTTGTCAGATGAAGTCATATGTTCCTGTGTCATGTTGAATGGGAGAGCATTCTTCAGAAGAGCATCCCATTGTAACTGAATCCTGTCCGTTGTCTTGTTTGTCACAACTAATATAATGAAATATTTGTGAATCTGTAAGAATTTTGTTTGCTTACCGTCACTGCTTTAATCTCTTCTGTCTGTTTGGAAGTAAAGTGATTCGATAAGTGCCCCTTCCCCCTGACTAACTGTTCTTACATTGTACAGTCACTCCAGATTCAGCAATTCCTATGAATCACATCAGCCCCAGTATCTGTCTACTTGTACATTCATTTCCATAATTGGCTCCTTTACCCCTTTAAATGTTAAGTTTTATAGCAATACATTGACTAATAATGGATTTTGTAGAACTAATCATTCTCTTGTTTCACTACTTGTTTTTAATATTTGCACTCATTATCTAATGTCATAGGGCAGAACAGCAACATTCCCAATTTTAAATGGCAATTTGTACATTTTGCTGCAGTTTGCGATTTGCAGTGGCTGATTATCTCTGTTGTTGGTTTGTGGGTCACTTCCAGGGCCAGGTCCTCTCTCACGCTATGAATGGAAGTACTAGCCATCCACAGAGGCCCCTCTCTCCTCCATCCTATCCTCCTCCACCCACCTCACTCCACACTGGGCTCCAGAGACAGAGCAGGAGTTCAGGTGAGTCACTGATCTTTTGTCTCATCATGTGAGTGGAGGACAACACATGGTAGCAGTTCTTTGAAAATCACCGCCCGCTATATGACATGCGGAAATCATCCACAGGCATGATTAGAGAAGTCGTTATGTCTTCGTCAGGTGTCTCATTTAATACTGATACTGATACCATTAGACCCCATAGAGATAGAGATGGTAGGATTTCAAGGTGGGTGATGAATCCAATGCAAGTAGGGAACCCCTCCAGGGTCTAGATGCTGGTGGTGGTAGAGGTGGTGAAGATGAGATGAAGATGTGGAGAAGTGCCGATGATCTGGATGAGTAGAGGAATGAGCCTTTGTTGAGCTCGTCCTGGACTCTGGATACGATGGCTGGAGGTGAACGGGGTGGAGGAGGGCGCAAAGATTCTGCCAAAAATGATGGCTGACAGCAGCAGAAGAAAGAGCAGATTTGAAATTTTGCAGTGGCATCCTTATTGGCTGAGAAAGATCGTGACAATGTTTCATTTGATAACTAGAAGAGTGAACACCCATAGTGAGCTGATTAGAGGAAGCGGTGGGAGTGGAATGGAGGGAATTGTGAATGGATGAGCACAAAGAAAGTCTCTCTGATTGAACTTACGCTGAGCTTCATATGTGGCTTTGCTGCTGCCTTTGAGCTGCTGTCAGAGCAATGACAGGAGGCAGAGAGCTCTCGCCCAACAGCAGAGGCTCCTTCTCCACCCAGGAGCAGAGCTCTACCTTGCTGCTCTGCAGTTCCCCACTGATGACAGTCCCAGGGGCAGCAGTGTCCGTGTGCATCGCCCTTTTCTACACTATAGTACAACCAAAATGTCATGTAGATGATGACGCAAGTGTACTCGCATACGGAACATTGCTAATGTGAAAGCTGAGCGGTGGGGGAGTGGAGAGGGGGCGCAATTGTATTCTGCACGGTAGGAATCAGATGTACCTAATATGAAAACGCCCTTAATCTCCTCATCGTTGCGCATATCTATTAAATAGTTAATGGGTCTTTAGTTAATGTGTTTGTTATAAGCCCAGGATATGATATGTGGACACCTACGAGTAGATGACAGAACCAATTGGAGAACAGTATGAAATTAATTAGTACAAAACGAGGAAAAAGACAGTGGTTGTTCTTGTACTACTCAAACCACGAAGCATGCAAAAGAGCAGCTAATCTCAGGATGATTCAGTGTTCGCTTGTTCAGCTGGTGTTGGTGCCCAAACTTGGATGTCTGTTTGATTATCAGTAGCTACAACTGACTGTGTTTTTCTCTTTCCTCTCCTCTTCCTCCTCCTCATATCCAGAGGGCAGTGAGTCAGTTACCAGAGAGTCTGTGGTGTCGGGCCACACCAGCGTCAGCAGCACTGTGCCCATCGCCCGCTTCTCGGAAGAGGAGAAAAAGGTGTCCATTATTAAAGCACCTCATTATGAAGGCATCGGCCCTGTGGACGACTCTGGCATCCCCATCGCCATCCGCACGGTGAGGTCACACACACACACACAGAGCTAAACACACACAGTGGTGTGCAGCAGGCTGAGACAGTTAGGTACTGTAGTGTTGCACAGGAGTGTCTTTTGACCCATTTCTGTTGTCTTGATATGTGATCAGGCTCACGAGAGGGGATTACTTTCAGCTGTCAGCAGCTTTTGACCCCATATTAAAAGCCCTTTCTCTCCCGCGCTCAGTATCTCTCCGTATCTCTTTTACTCTCCCTCTGTGTGCTAGTTATAAAGATGAGCTAAGTCAAGGTCTTTCCTTCAGCACTGCAAGGTCCTCGCTGCTTACTTGTCAAAGTGTGTGTTATCTCTGTTGAGGCTTTTCGTGTATTAACACTTCACTCAGTTATCCATTTCTTGAAGAGTGACATTTAAAGGTGGACATGTTCAACTACAGAAAGAGTGAGCCAGAGAAAGTTACAGGAAGAATGAGAGACAGGTAATAAAAGCAAAGAGAAAAGGTGAAAAGAAAAAGCTGCAAAGAAGAAAAACAGATGCTCCTTGTTGTGAGCAGACAAACATTTTTGTGGGCACTCTATGTGGTAACCATGGAGAGTGAAGTGGTAATTGGCCCATCTCTCGGCCGTGCCAATGCTACATGCTCAGTCACACACACTCCTTCACTGTGGAGCCAAACTGCCTCTTCTCTGACCAGAGTCCAGACCCAGTGTTTAGCACAGCTGAATAAAGGGAGGATTAAGTCTCTCTGCCATTTGATAGCTCTTTTTTCAAGTGGCTGTTAGATCTATACTGTATACACAAAGACAGACATACCAGAGTTTCTCCTGGATTTTCCAGGCAGAGCACCAGGAGCTCCCAATTTGGTTTTGTAGCAACATGGCTTCTGTATCCTCTATGCTGTGAGACCAAACCTGCTGACAGTGATTTCTGAAAGAAGCCACAATCACCTTAAAACACACACAAAATTCATATCAAAACAACCTCCATTAGTAGTTCGTCAAGTTTGTGATGGCACTGTCAAGTTTTTTCTTTATAAATAATTTATTCATGGCTCAGCATAGGTTAAATTCTCTGTGAGTGAAATATGGATCACTAGAAGGGCTGAGAGTGTATTTTTCTCCTCTCAGTGCGGTCTCAGTCCCATAAAACAGTGGGAACCTTTTCTACTTTCCAATTTCAGCTATCCAGTTTATGTTGCATTTCGCGGCACATAAATCTTTACGATTATTTCTCTCTCTGCAGACGGTGGATAGGCCTAAGGACTGGTACAAGACTATGTTCAAACAGATCCACAAGGTTCACAAAGCGGGTAAGTCTGTCCCGAATCACACTGAAAGGCAGAAATGTCCCGTTACTGGATGTGATTTGATCGTCAGACATTATGAGAGGAATTGGCCAGGCATGCATGCTGTGTACGCACTTGTGTATGTGTGTGTGTATCTGTGTGTGTCTGTGCATGTCGATTCTTGTTAAACCAAAAGACCCAGAGAACCTCAGAGCCAGAACTCATTAGATGAGAGCAAGAGAGTCTGGAGAGGAGGAGGAATTGAGAGAAACCTCTAATAGACACAGAGCCGTCCTGGGAAATCTGCTCTAATTTTATGGGCTTGACAGTATCGCACACTCGGTTCAAAGCTTGTTTGTTCTTAACTGCTCAGGCCTCTTCTTCTGCTGCAGCACACACACAAACACACACACTATTTCATGATTGTGTGTGCCCAAAAACATCTACAGGCCCGTGATTATCTTTTTGGTGCATCTCGGAGAGTTCCCATGGCTCTCTGAATATTCACATATTCTCAGTGAATTTATAAAGCAATATTCCAGCCCCGCTGGCGTCTATCTTCTGATTAACCCCCTGTAGACTTACAGACTCAAAAAAGTAGTTTCCTCATTTGCAGAAAAAAGCACCTTTGAATTCAGCTGGAATCAAATACTTGTAGTTATGAAAAAAATGGTTAATGCATGCATCTGCAGGGTGCTGTGGCCCCTTCATAGAAATTTAAAAAGGCATATTGGAAAAACAATTGTGTGAGACATGCTGAGCTTGTGGATGAACAAAGGGGAAGTGGTTTATGCTGCTTGGGTGGTTTTGATTCTTCTCTCCACTGTGAAAAATGGTCACTATTGGAAATTACTTTGTAACTGACTGTATTCAAGCTGACTAAAGGTGCTGAGGAAACTACACACGTTTATGCTCTGTACCATAAAGCATGTTTGTGCTTGTTTCCCAATCTGTCTTTGTTCCATTCCCCCACAGACGATGACTATTCTGACACATACAATGCAACATACGCTGTCATAAACAATGGTAAGAGATGTTCTGTGTAAAACAATACCCTCAAACAATAAGTAATTCCTTCCCAACCCATTTGTCTCCTCCTGTTTGGCTTGTTCTGCCTCATTATTTCTCCCTACGCTCTCCCCTCTGTCCTGTCCTTAACAGATGACTACAGCCTGCCACCCCACACCACCATGGCTCACCCCGCTCCCCGGACACATACGTACAGGCCACTCGCCAAAAGCCCCTCGGACAATAGAGGGCATCTGGGCCCTCGGGAGCCTTCGCCATCCCCCGTTCCCCCACCACCTCCGCCAATGCCATCTCTCCTCCAGCTGAGGGCCAGAGACAGTGACCGTGAGAGAGACTCGCCTGACACGTAAGAGGAGCTTTGTCATGTCTCTTTCATTTATTACACCTTGTTAGTTATGAAATACTGGCGCTCAATCGATATTATATAAGCAATGAAAATGAAATTTAGATCTCCCCTTGTCATGCACGTAGACTAATAAATGGGATCGATTATTTATTATGATAGTTTATGTGCTTTTTGTGAATTAAAAGGGCTGTGTGAGACATTCAGAGCATTAATAAAAAATTGAACTGCTGTTTTGGTGCTGTTAAAGATATAGTGGAGTAATGATGTCCTGAAAAGAGAATGAAATCACGTCTGATGTCGGTCTAGCCATGAGTGCATGTGTGTGTGTGTTTGAGTCCTGTGTGTGTGTATCCCACTGGCTAGCTAATCGCTACCGCTCTGCATTGGGTCATACAGCAGATACTGCTGATAATGCCGTCCTGACTCACAGTGGCAGAACGGTCATGTTGCAAAAGCATAGCACCCACCCTCCAGTCCTCAACCCCCCCCCACATTAACATTGTTAGCTCTGTCAGCACTGTTGCCACTGTTAGAATTGTTAGCTGCTAGCCGCCGGCTCAGCCACCTCCGTGCTAAAAGCCGTGTGCAGACAAACTCGGCTCAGAATCTAACTCAAATGATCTGAATGTTGCATACAGCTCCTGTAACCTTTATTTGGTCTCATGATTTCTGAGCTACTTTGAATTCTATTATTTAAAATGCACTAGAAGTAAGTGCTGAATGATTAGCTAACTCAGTTACCTTTCTAAGACACATACTTTTGTGTTTTTTGCACCAGGAATGAATGGGGTCCCCCCAACAGGAAAGTGGACACACGAAAGTACCGTGCAGAGCCTAAGAGTATTTTTGAGTATGAGCCTGGGAAATCCTCCATTTTGGAGCATGAAAGACCAGTGAGTATATTTTAAAAATGTTCTTTCATTGGATTATAATGTTTTCTGACATTTTTTTGAAAAGTTGGAAGCCATCATCACATTACAGCCTTCCTTCATGTCTGATTTACATGTGAGGGTAGCTGACTTCACATCCGCATCCTGGGAGAATATTTCTATTACTGTGGCAGTGAAGTGATGTCAGTTAACTATTGTTGCTTGTTATTGTTCAGTAAACAAGTAAACAGTATGCAACATGAAGTGAAGTAACGCTGCAGAGAATGAGCCATAGTACAAAAAAACAACTGGATGGTCAAGCACATTTACTTTTCCTCCTTGCTAGTCTTTATAGACATTACTGTGTTGTTAATACATTTTCACATTATGGGCTTCTGCATGGACTTGTTTCCATCAGACATGCTGTGGGCGTTAAAAAGCGAAGGTTTCCAGTGCTGCATCCTCCAGCGGCTGTACTGGCTGTTCACTCTGTGTGGGGTGAATGACAAAGCAGACAGCAGAGATAATTACTGTGTAGAGGGAGGGCGAAAAATAATAGACATGAGGTATCTGAGATAAGAACAGGATAATGGAGAATGCGTTACAGATGAGGAGTCTGTTATGTGGAAAAGGTTTTTGTGAAGGTTTTGGAGATGTTTAATGCAATGACTGCAGAGAGCTCTCAGGGTAATAATGCATGAGTCAGTTCCTGATAAGGCAATAAAAGGAGAAAGCTGTAGAGAGTAGAAGTGAACCCACGCTGGCTAATCTGCTGTCTGAGATTCTTATATATACCTGTGTTGTTTGTTAGAAGGGTTTTCTCTTCTTTTTCCAGGGTAAGAAATAGCACCCAAAAACATCCTGTTCGATGTGAGGTGTCCATTCGGTCTCCAATTATGAGCCATCGCACCCAAAATTGTTTTTCTGGCATCTGTTCAGTTCCTTTTTTGTGTGTCTGTCCACAGTACTGGTGTGATTGGCGGCCTCTGCTCCAGGCTCCCACTTTTTTTTTAAGGGTGACTCATTTGTCTCTGAGCTGAATTCTCTTTTTAGCAAGAGAGATGTAACACCACAACACCTACAAAGCATCTCCTGGCAGTGTTCCATTCGGCGTGAAAACTCAATTTCCATGTGGGAATGGGGTTAGAAAGGGCAGACAGAGTAGTAAACCAATGCATAATCTCTTCAGTTACGATAACAGTTAAATGAATAAGCCTCTTGACTGTAGTGCACGCTGAAGTGCGTAAAATAGAGAACACTGTTAGATTTTAAACGTTCGACAACAAAGAGTAGATGATTAACTGGCTATACAGCGGCGACCTTGTTTTGGCTTCTCCGTCTAATTCTGTTGCATGTAAATACTTACATCCCATCTGACAGTGTTTACTGCAGGATTATTTGATATGAAAATGTTTCTCTCTGTGATACAAAGGAAGTGTTTGGCATTAATAATCCACCATATCACATCAGCAGAGATAAACCTCTGCTTCCTGAGGCAATTTGTCCGTCATTTACATGCCATGCAAATGCGAAAAATAGCGGCGGAAATAAAGAGTTTTACACATTGGATGGCAGCTCAGCAGTCTCAGCATGAAAAGTACATCTCAGTTCTGAACTAGAAATTAAATATTTGCAAATCTGCCCGTAAAAGTGTCTCTTTTATTAAACATGAGGGGTTTAAGGGGAGAGTTGTGTGATTGCAAGAAAACACAAGCTTATTTGTATAGCGAATTTCAATAAGATGGCAGTTCAAAATGTTTTACATAAGACATTAAAAAGGAATTAAGACAGGATGTAAGAGAACACAAGTTGATATAAAAAGATGCATAAATAGGGTTTTAAAAGAGTAAATTAAGAAAATGTACGGTAATTTTCTTATATAGAGATATAAAGTGCGAGGTCAGTTTAGGCCTCATACAACAACTCCCAAAACAGCCAGTATGTGTAACTCTGATCAGGTATGCTCAGGTACATACATACAGTAATGTTGCATTTCATTAGTCGTTCAACGTGCCCTTGTTGCACTTGCCGTCGGGGGAATCTTTGCCACCATCATAAGTATCATTCCATATGTCTGAAAAACTGAACTTTGATTGACCCTCGCTGGGCTGAGGGAGCAAGCCAACAATCATGGTCACTCCAGTGGTGTATATCACCCACAATGTGTTGCAGTTATGCATTTGGTGCAAGAAATAAATCCATGCTTAGGTGGCAGTGACGTTCCTAAAACTCTGTGTGCTTACCACCAGAGAAGGAGAAGAGAAATCAATTGGAAAACAAAGTAGGTAATAAAAATAAAATGAATGCACTTTTTGACATGCTTTTCAGTTTCAGTTTTTCCAATTTATCATAGGAATGTTTAGGTACAGGCTTTCATGTTTATCGGTTCACTTTCCCTAGTTAGAAGAAAAATCTCAATATTATGGATAGCTTGATATTTTACTGACAACTGGCACATAACTCATTGCAGTTAATATTTAGGTTGTTGTACTGTTCTGTTTTGCAACAAATCATAAATCAGAATCAATAATAGTTGGGATAATCATGATACAGATCAGAAACAGGCATTTCTAAATCAGAAACTGATGCTGACATATCATAGTTATCCTCACAAGAGGCCTTCACCTTACTGAAATGCAGGTATTTCTGATGATTTGTAAAAGCAGTATAGTGCTAAACCCACAACTGCCGGTCGATCCATAACAATTTGGGCTTAAATTGAACAAGGGCAGTTACCTTCCATATAAATCCCCTGCTTCTCCCTTGTCCACTTTCCCTCTGCTCTCCAAGTGGCCTCTGTGCAATGGATGCTGTTACATAACAGTAAGGGCTGAGGATAAGTGAGTGAGGGAAGTGGAACCACTAATGAAACACAGGGTGTAAGTGCGTAACACTTGGGTCAGTTGGATAGCTGACTGTGATGCCGTCGTACCCTCACTGATGTAGAAGTTAAACCTATGGTACACCCATATGAATAACCCCTCATGTCTCTTCCAAAATATGTGCCCCTTCTTCTTAAATATAACGAGTACCTCTGCTGATAATCTGGCCTTTCCCTGCCACTCTGACATACTGTGTTTAGTATTCCATCCACTGAGCCTGCACAAAGGTGTGGATAATGAGGCTGGGTGTTAAATATGTAATGTCCAAAGTAACATGCTGATTTTCATTATCTGTCACCTGCGCTAAAGCTGCGAAGAAAGCTGCGGTAATGTGATTCTGTCATGGGATTCACAGGCCTGTTCATTTTTATTCATATGAAATTAATGAATATTAATTAAAACTGGCCGAGGTGTTGAAACTGTCTGCCTCCTCAGTCCCCAATGGTGACAAGAGTTGGATAGTTGGAGTCGGAGAGTTGGAGTTGTGCATATTAGATTATTTAGTGTGCACAAGTTTAATCACTGTCTGATGACATATATGGCGCTACTTTACACTGGCTAACAAGTAGTTTGGATTCTCTAATGTTTTGGAAGTGCTGTCAAACCAGTTAAAGTTGTGAAGCAAACTGTTCTCAGTAGGATTTGTCAGTAGTAAATTGGTTTTGCATCACTGCTTTGGTCCCCATGAGCCAGTCTGAATCTTCATCCTGTGCCCATCTTTCTGCACCACCGTTGCTCATTCCTAACCATGAGGTCCATGTCTCTCTTTGTGTGTGACTTCTTTCCACACTGTCTTTCCTCTACCTTTTTCTCTCTGTCACTGTCATGCTTTCCCAGACCTATGATGACATAGATTTAGAGAACGAGCCTTGGTATAAGTTCTTTTCCGAGCTGGAGTTTGGGCGGCCGGTAAGTCAGGGCCATAGCTTACTTCTTCAACCACAACCCTGCCTTAGGCATACACCCACTCTCTACACTCCACCCAGGACTTTTTTAAATGTCTCCGCCAATAGACTGGGTGGGGCTAGTTGTTTGGGCATGTGGTACTTGTTGGGTGCTGTGACCCCCCCTTCCCCCCACCCCTGTGACAGGCTGTGTTATGTCTCTGCGTTGCTGGGTTTTTTGGTCTGGTGGCTAGCAGGCACTGAAATGTTCACACACATACTTGGATAATTTTATTTCAGTTGGTTCTGTGTTGCATCTTGCCCCAAAATAAGCAGGACAAAAGGTTAAAAAGGCAGTGTGCTCCAGATGCTTTAGATGACCTGGCTTTTTGGCGGGTAAAACTGCACAGAACAGTAAATCATCGATCAACATTGATAATATAAAATAATCTTATCTCTCTGTTTTGCATAACAATCTGAATCTGTGCAGTTTCTTTAACATCTCTTGCACATGCTAACATAAGTATCAGTTAATCAGCCCTTTATTTATCTGGTTAAATCATTTAATCATTTATTAATTTTTGCTAGTTCATTTTTATCTTCACCTCTGGTGGAGCAATGCTCTGCATACAAACTAAATGCTGTAGTGCCCTCTGCTGGATGCAGGTGGTAATAACATCCTAGTGGCTCAGAGCAGTGATTGCCTCTAGCCACTGATCTGAGATCAAATTACCCCAACCTGGCCGATTTACAAAGAGTCATGAGGACACGCCTCTGTCCATGTCAGAGCATGACATCAGGTGATGGTTTGTTGGGCTTATTCGAAATGTTCAGGTGCAAATGTCACATGTGGAGCTGACATGACTTCCCAGAGTCCTGTTAGGCTGTGTTGAGATTTCTACCTGCAATATTTTGAATGTTTCACACCACTGAATAAGCCCTTAGAGTGTAGACGGTTCCCCTACATGCACTGACTGCTCCAGCTGGGACAGAATCTCACTGTATGTTCAGTGTTTGAGTGTTTATTGAGGTGACAAGTCACGAGAACTTTTGACCGACTGAGTGAACGATAGTTTATCTGCACTAAATCACAACATTTGATCGTGCAAGTCACTGCACTTTCAAATAAACACAACACTGCCGCTTGTGCTTCACTCGGCTTTCTGCTTTACAGCTTGCTCTTACACTCTGCATGTGTGTGTGGTACATGGGCACATTTTTGTGTGTGTATGTGTGTGTGGTATAAAGGTTTATTTAGTAGGCCTGTTTATTATAGCATTGACATACTGTAGTTTGATGTTGCTGTTTTGAGAATACAAACACAGCATTAATAGATGACATTAGAATGTGAATAGGAATGAACAAGTATTTTGTGTAAGTGTGTGTGTTAGTGTGTATTGAGTGTGTGCACACGTGTGCATTGTACATGCAAAGCACATGTGCAGCGTTTGTGAACTAGTCCATCTCTGATTACTCAGATTCTCTAACGGGTGTCACTCTCTCCACATGTTTTTTGTTTTTGTTTGTTTCTCCCCATGACGTCACCACTGCTTCTCCTCCTTCACCTCATTTTCACCCTCTTCCTATTCCTCCTCCTCCTCCTCCTCCTCCTCCTCCTGCTCACTGCTGCCGCTTGGGGCTCAAGCCTCCTAAAAAACGGCTGGATTATAATCCAGACATCTCCGCTCGCCAGCGCATTGAGGTAATCTCACCTTCATGAGTGTTGCAGAAGTGTTGTTAATCTCAGAATTTCTAACCAATGATAGGAATTAAAATCTGTATTGTTAAGGAACATGATTGCTTTAAATGAGTGTAATGTAGCGTAGCAACAATTCAGTATGATGTCATGTCCCCATGTCAGCTATCCATGACAAGATGAGAATGATGTTGCTTTGAAAGCTCTGATGCTGGGCATTTATTTGCTTGGGGTTGTATTGTATTATTCACTGGAAATCATTCTTTTGTTTCCTGTGTTTCATCTGATGGGTATTATTTCCTCTGAGAGATCTTTGCAGTTAAAGTGTATCAATCATTCTTTACCACAAAGACCCATTCCAGCTGATCCATGCCAGATTTTGCAGGGCAACATTTGCCCCCCTGAGCTCAGCTCAAAACATCCTTTGCTGTATCACCTTTGTCATCATCCTTAAGAGCAGCCCAAGAGTGCTCAGAAATTTTTCTTCACTACGTACACCGGTAGGCCTCTTCTCACTCAGGTGTGCCATGTGGAACCAGCATCTGTCGCACCTTACGCTGGGGGAGCATTTTGAGTGTGGCACAGCAACAACCGCATGCAGGCTGTGCATTGTGAGCTGCTCTGCCTCGAGTCTTTGTTCTTGCGGACCTCACTTTTCTCTTTTGTCGTCTGCCCTATTTCAGACATCCCTGCACATCGCTCCTGCTGACAAGGCTCCGGAGAGACCTGCGAGGTAACCTCTGTTTCTTCTATTTTCCCTCTGCATCACCACCCCCCTCCCCCATCTCCTCAACAGCACTGCTCCTTGTTGTGATTCAGCAGGGAATCAAAACTGCTCTTTCTTGCCTTGACTGTTGTGCAAATAGCCTCTGTGTCTGATAATTTTGCAGGGATTAGTGTTCGTCTTTATTTGCTCTTGCCACTGAAGGCAGGGAGCTTTGCATCTCTCTTTCACTAACTGAGCCAGAATAAATTAACCCAGCAAACCTATTGATTCTGCCCTTCACCTCCTATCCTTCACACAACCCCCCCTCTTCCTCCCCTCGTCCTGCTCTCTTTCACAAATGGCCTGCTTATTCAGTCGCATTTTCCTCGGTGAACAGAAAGGGCAGAAATGGGATGAGATGAATAGGCCATGTAATTCATGTGTGCGACATTGAGTGTGTTTGTCCTAAATAGAAAGCCCACTGGGTTTTTAGACATTTTGAATGAGAGAAGTTATGGTAACGCTGCTGTCTCATCTTTTTGGACACAAGGATAATAGCCTCATTATAAGTAGGATGAGCTTGGATATACTTATACTTATAAAAATGATGCCAAGGATTTATCTCTGTCCATAAATGAACATGAAAAAGTTTAAAAATTCCCAAATTTCAAAAGAGATTTTTGACCAACAGTACATATAGTTCATATACTTCATTTGTCTCCTATTTATCTAAGTGGTTTAGAAAAGAGAAAAATGTTTAATCCTTAAAACAACATTCACTTGCTCATAATTAATCATATTTTGGTCTGCATATGGTTTGTAAACAGATGTTATAGGATGTACTCACAAGACATTTCTAGTCCCTGAAATCAATGTGCCTGCAGCAAACTGCATTCACCTGTGTATACTCTTCTGAAAGCATTGTCATTGATGTCTGACTATGCTGCAGTGCTGCCAGCGACTACAGAAAGAGAAGGAAGTCTGAGCCGACGAGTTCCCAAGTGAATGCTCAGTCTCAGAGCAGAGCTGCAACTTCCCCTAAACCAGTGGATGCCTACAGACCCAGCAGCAGCCTCAAGAAGCCTGCGGTTCGTTCCTCACCATCCTCACCCTCCAGAGCCAAAGGTAAACACACAAACATCTTGTTTCACTTGATATTTTTTTTCTCTGTGTATTTCTCTTTTCCCGTCTCTTCCCCGAGCTGTTATATGTGTGTATTGTATTTACCACTTTGACAGAAGATCAAAGATCTGTTGTGTTTTTCACAATATGTCTGTCTGGTGTGGTCGTACATTTCCTTGATTGGTGTTGGTGGAAGTCTGAAGAAAAAAAACATCAGATCGTCTTTTTCTACCTGTCCTCTTTTCTCTCCTAACTCTTCTCCCTCTCCCCAGCTCTTCCACCCTTTTGCTGGGTATTACTGCTTAACATGCTTTCCTCCTTCTTCTCTTTCACCACGCTGCTCTTTATTGGACATCTGAAAGGTGGGGACGCATGCAACATGTATTCAAACAGTTTGACCTCCCCAGGTCCTCATCAGCGCCCCTCTCTGCCCCCTGTCCCCTCTGACCCTGTCCATTGCCAGGAGGATGCCAGCCAGGAGGGCAGCTCCTCCTCCAAGCAGTCTGTCTGTTGTAAGAACAGTTGGCAGACAAAATGCCAGGATGCTGAGACATGGAGCAGTGCTGAGGAGGTACCGCCCGTCCCTAGCAAGCTCAAGTCACGCAGCTGCGATGACTTACTCAATGATGGGCACGCCGACTCGGGCGGGCGCAACGCAACACGCTCAGAAAGTGCTGGGTCGCTGGTTTGTGATGGGAATCCCTCAGGTTCGACCGGATCCATGTCCACTCACTCATTGCCTCGCCTCCACCGCCGACGAGCGCACGATTCACCGGGTTTTCTCCAGCTCTATCGTAAGATGCACCAGATCGACCGAGCTCAGCTCATCCCATCTGAAGTCATCCGCTCGGTGCGCGCTCGTATCCTGGAACTAGAGCGCCAGCCTCACCTGCATCGCCATCGTCTCTCTCCTTGGGCACCTTCTTGGGGCGTTGAGGTGCCGCGCGATATGGTGCCAAACCGCATTTCTGCATATGAGCGCCTTATTCAGAAGTCCAAATCCATGCCCAACTTGGGTGACACTGAGGTGCCTTCAGGCACTACGACGCCAGGTGGCTCGTCATCTCGAGCCAGCAGTGGTGGCGGTGGCACACCCAGTTTTCCAAAACGCCGTTTTTCCATAGAATCTTTACTAGAGGAAGACAATAACGGCAATAGTGCAGTAGTACCTCACACCATGGATCACTTGCATCGACCTCGTAGCCCACCAGAGGGCCAGCCTCGTGTTGGGCCAGAGCCCGGCCGTGCACGGTCCTTTCCTGCCCCTCCTGTTCCCCAAGGCCCACAGGCCAACCCAGACTACTCTGACAGTGAACAAGATGCTGTTGCGTCAGACCTCAGTGACTTCATCCAGGTGGAGGGCTCCTCATTTTGCAGTGAGAGTGACTTTGACCATTGCTCACTAACTTCCTCTGAGAGCTTGTATGGCTCTTCCACCCTTCACCACCACCACCACCTCCGTCATCACCACCACCATCACCACCACCATCACCCTGCTCACCAAAGTATAGGCCAGAGCCAGGGTTACCAACACCGCCACCTCATCAGCTCCTGCAAAGGCCGCTGCCCGGCCTCCTATACCCGCTTCACAACCATGCTTCGCCATGAGAGAGAACGAGCACGCCAGGAGCACCAGAGATCTTCACAGCAGAGCCGCAGCAGCCATTCACACATCCAGAGCTCACAGTCCCAACAAGCGATGTCCAAGCTGGCCTTCCTGGTCAGCCCAGTGCCTTTCCGCAGGAAAAAGGGCTCACCACCTACCTCTAGAAGAAGCAATGGTGGCGGAGATCGAGGTAGCAGACCCAAGTCCAAACAGGCCATTTATGAAGCACTAGATGCAGCCTTGAGAGACATTTATGAGCACATTCAAGCAGAGAGAGGCCACAGAGGGACTCGGGCGCCTGACGATAGCATCCTGAGAAGAATACTGGCCGAACTGCTGCCAAATGTGCCTGAACGAAGCTCCTCATTGCGGGGGAGGAGGGGGTGTTGGCACGGGGGTCACTCCTCTGCATCTTTGTACCCAGATGGGAGCCCCACTGGGTATGCCTCACACAGAGGGGATCCCTCCACACCACGGCTACAGTCACCAATCAGTGCCTGTTATGGACGCCACTCAGACACCTCAAACAATAATGAATATGGAGAGGAGCAGGGCAATGGGAATGGTCTCTGTTATTCAGGTGGAGATAATACACATATCACACCTCAAATATACAAATGTTCACTTTGTCATATAACCAGTCTTACCCACACATAGTTTTTTTTCTGTATACTCACATATAGACGTGTACATAACCCACATACATTCACCTTATTGTCCCTTTCAGTGTTGCATGGGCTTGTTGCCCTTTTCCCCTCATTGGTCAGCCGATACATCCGTTACTGTGCTGTTTTATATTTTACGTGACATTCAGTAAGACCTGTTGACTGTAAATTCTCAAGTAAAACCTGGTATTAAGTAATGACCATTCTTGTGAAACTAAACACCTCCTCCTGATGTTTCACATTAAAGGTCTGCTACTAAAATGCGAGGATTATGCCTTGGAGCTACTGGAAACCTAATTTGAAACACTGCAGAAAATGCTGGCGTTGACAGTAACCTAATACTGAACAACACAACAGCAATGTAGGAACAATTTGAATTAAATAGTGAAGTGGAGCAATAATTCTGTCAGAAAAAGAAAATCAGAGCAACAGAATGGTGAGGAAGAGCATTTTAGGAAACAGGGAGGCATCTACAGTACTAAATGTGATAAAACTGGACTTCTCTGTGACTGGGTAAAGAAATAGTGAGAATTTACAGTATAGTATCTGGTTGGAGTAAATAAATGTGAACATTCTTCTGTTTGTTTATAATTTGATTATTGTTTTGCTTGTATCATTTGTCTGTTTTGCAAGTTTATTTGTTGTAGAGGCATCTTATTACCCTAAAATCATTCTTTCCTTCAGGCCACCTGCTTGTATGTTTATGTTTGTAAATGTATTTTATCATATTTAGTCATCTTTGGGTTGTATTCCCCTTATTTTATTTTGTGTTTGAGCAATTTTTGATTGCATGTGTCATGTTTTGGGAATCCCAATCACCTTGTTTCTACAATGAAATGGAAATAAAACACAATTTTTGATCCTGTGCTATTATTCCCTCATTTACCTGTTGGAATGACGTCATCACTGCACCATTCAGTACTTTCCCAAAGCACGTCTTTGTATTATGAGTATGCATGTGACATAATTGTGGTTACTGTCGTAACCCCCATGACCTTTCTCATGTGTCTCACTAATCACAGACCAGGATGTCTCCAGGTGTTATTCCACCATGGATGGACGCCACACACCCCAGAGTAGAAGACCTACTCCTGACAGAGAGGTACAGCACTGAAACTGATGGCTAGTATTCTCAGCACCAACATGCACTTCATTAGGAGCACTATTTTTCTCTTTATAATAAAGTAAAAATACTTTAGATTGAACTTCAATAACCTTTTTTTGTCTTTAGCATTACTCCTCCACAGCACAGTTAAATTTTCTCACAGAAATTAAAAAGCTGTATTTTATGTTTTGCCTGGTAATGCTCGCCGGCTTTCTTTCTCTCACTCTCATCTCCTAGGTCTCCCATAAACAGATGACACAACTTATTCTGTTCTCTCTCCTCCATCAGAAACAGCCTGCGAGAGCCATTTATGATTTTAAGGCACAAACAGCTAAGTGAGTACAGTAAACGCACCGTGCACGTACAAGGAAGCCGAGCCTTAAAGCATGAATGCCTAACTGCATATCAGCACATCTCGACTCATTGCATTCAGTATTATGGTTTCAGATTCTTGTGCATTTCATGCAAAAAGTTTCTTTTTCTTTCTAAGATAACTTCATCGTCACATCTTACCACCACACCTGGATGGCTTTAACTGATTCCTTTTATTTATACATCCTTAAATAGATGCATGAATAAAGCTGATTTCTGTTGTACTTGGTTTTATATTATCCGCTTCAGTGGCTGACGTTCTGTAGCTGATGCTGTTTACATGAAATGAGCTGTGCTGGCTGAAGTGATCAGCTCATTTTTTCTTCCTGCCTGTGTGCCAGCACTGTGATGACATGAATGTGTTGCAGGGAGCTGTCATTTAAGAAGGGTGATGCAGTCAACATCATCCGGCAGATAGACAACAACTGGTATGAAGGAGAGCACCGCGGGCGGGTTGGGATATTACCCATTTCATATGTAGAAGTGAGTGTGCAGCTGATAAACTGAGTGCAGTACTGTAGATGTACACTAATTTGTGTCTTATGTTTAATTTGTCTTTATGATTTCTCCTCCTCTTCAACACACACATTTACACTATTGCACATAAACAGAAGATGCCATCCTCAGAGAGGCAGCAGCCGATTCGTCCTCCTCCGCCAGCACATGTCAGAGAGATCGGAGAGGCAGTAGCTCGCTACAACTTCAACGCTGATACTAACGTGGAGCTGTCTCTCAGAAAGGTAGTGTTTATTTATTTATTTATTTATTTATTAAACCTTTTTTTAAACCAGAAAAACTCTTTTTCAAGTACACCGTCCGTGAGATTGGCATATAGAAGATTGTGTACAAAAATCCTGCAACAGTGCTTTGAAATGGCCGAGAGGAACCAAAGGGTGCAATTTTAAGTCCTTCTGCAGAAGGAGAAAGAGTTCCTGAAGATCCTTGAAAGTATTAAATAGCATTGAATTCATTCGTCTAAAATTAAATGTCTTAAATCAATATTTCAACAGTCTTAAAAGCCTCTTGTATTTACATCTTGCAAGGATCAGGGTAACTGAACCAACAACACACATATATATTTACCACATCTATCAAATGACAAATGAGAAAGCTTTTTTCAAACCACATAGAAAAGTTTATGATAATAGATTGATTGTTTTCCCATGTGTTCTGCTTAGAAAGTGTTTTGTTTTTTTCTTCAACATTTTAGCTTGATCATTTAACTTTTTAACTTGACCAAAAAAGAAAAAAAGTCATGTTTATGTCACAGTTAACAATTTGGAAAAATTGTCCCTAACCCTACGTAATTGATGTCAGTTCATGTAGTATTGATGAAGTAGTCAATCTAATTTACCTTAAGCATAGGAAACCTGGTGAAGCTGCAGAGTTTATCGACTGGACTTCAGAGTGCTTATTTAAATTTCAAAGTTCCAACATTTTCTCAAATTCTAGAGAAACAAATAATCATTCAGACATAGTTACAAGGTTCCCACCAGGTAGTGATGATATGTTTCATGTGGTTAAAGCTACTGTGTGTAGACTTTGAAGATATCCTGCCTGTAGCCTCAAAAAGATACAGTGGTAGACGATAGTACATATGATTAACCAACTGCGGGTCTGACCTGGAGAAGATTCACAGTGGCTCCAAGAAGTGTGAGAGGAAGTACTATTGAGTTCTGTGTATTTAAAACAGTCTGTATTGCAGTTAAAAACCATGTGTATATTTTGTGTGTGTGTGTGTGTTCTGTGTGAAGGGCGAGAGAATAATTGTGATAAGGCAGGTGGACCAGAACTGGTACGAGGGGAAGATCCCAGACACAACCAAACAGGGCATCTTTCCTGTGTCCTACGTTGACATCATCAAGCGCTCCCCAGCCAAGAGCTCCGCCCACCACATAGATCCACATGGTTACCCGAGCAGCAGGACACCAAGTTCTACACCTGTCAAGGTAGGAAAATCACAACAACGTGACAATAGAATATGCTAAACCAATTCAATACAGACGACTTTGTAACCAGCAGTTTGTTTTAAAGTGCTGGATCTAATAAAGCACTTTGAGCTGCTTTATAATTGAATTTATAGATTTTAAACCAACATCACAAACAATCATTTTCCATCCTCAAAAACTGCTGTAAACCAGTGGTTCCCAACTGGTCCGTCCACGCGGTCCAGATTTCTCCTTAATCATTATTCCAGGGTCCACACAGTTTAATACATTTGGTGTCATACTTGCTTTTGGCCATGTCTTCGAGCTAGTTTGCTGCCTCAGTCAAGTAGCTGTCTGTTATTCACTCACTTTACAGCAGGGAATAGCACTCCAAAACAAAAGCTGTGTGCAGGAAATTCACTGTACTTCAAAATAAACTTGACACGTTTGCGAGTCACTTGTGGTCCATTCAGAATGGACCCACAACCCACCAGTTGGGAACCACAGCTGTAAAGAATGTCTCCAGTTTACTAAAAAAGTTTGTTTTGATATCATTAAATCAGTAAATAAATAAATGCATCATCTGCGTAAGGGAGCAAATACAGCTTTAAAGGGGATAGTTCACCCCAGAATCAAATGTAGGTATTTTTCCTCTTACCTGTAGATTGTTTCTGGATGACTTGTCAAGGTTTGGAAATATAAGCCATAGAGATGTCTGCCTTCTTTCCAATATAATGGAACTAGGTGGCACTCAGCTTGTGGTGCTCAAAGCACCAAAAAATACATTTGAAAAACTCAGCAGCAATGTTTCTTTCCAGAAACCATGACCTGGTTATTTCAGATAATCCACAGCTGTAACATTAGCTAGCTCAGTTGTGCTAGGTGAGCTAGCAGTAGATGCACGCTTTCTCTCTGCATGGTGATGTGGTTGTTGGGTGTAGTTTGATAGAAAGAACAGTCTCTAAATAAAACTGCTCACAACAGGGTCTGTTGATTATCTTAAGTAACTACACCAAGATCTCTGTAAAGAGACATTGCTGTTGAGTTTTTCAGATGTATTTTTTGGTGCTTTGAGCACCACAAGCCGAATGCCATCTAGTTCCATTATATTGGGGAGAAGGCAGACACCTCTATGGCCGATATCTCCAACACTGGACAACTCACACTAAAATAATCTAGACTGATAAATAGCACCACAGGTAAGAGGAAAAGTATTTCCGCTTTGGGAGTGAACTGTCCTTTTAAGCTCTGTTGAGCCCTTAACACTCACACACACTACACACATTGTACTCTCTGTTCCAGTTTTATAAATTCCACTGTTCTTTCTTTTTCACCTCACCTTCATGGAGCCTTTCTACCATCTACCTCCATCCTCCACTATCCGTGACCCCCTGTCCCCTCAGCCCTCCCTGAGGAGGCCTGACTTGCAAGCTGTCACCAGCGAGTGGCTGTCCCTCACAATGGATCCATCAGCGTCCACTCCAGCTCACTCCCTCACAACCACCCCTATACCACCCACACCTCCCCCTCTCCCCGCTGACCTTACACCTTTCCTAAAGGCTCAGGAGTCGAAGCCACCGTCACCTGCGCCATCCCAAAGAGGCTTTGCCCTGCCACCTCAGAGGTTTTCTGTAACTCCTCCCTTTAAAGAAGGGAGACTTGGTTTAGGTCACACCCCTGTTACCCTACCTTTCTCACAACCAGCACCACTACCACCTCCTCCACCTCCACCTCCTCCTCCTCCTCCTCCTCCTCCTCCTCCACCCCCTCTTCCTCATTCTGCATTTACCTCTCCACTGCCTGACTTTTCACTGCGATACAACAGTGGCAAAGCTCCGCCATTACACATTTCTAAGCCAGAGATTTTATCCTGCACAGTGCCAGAGCCAATAAAGTCACCCACACAAGTTCCTCTGCGGCACAAGTCAAATGTGGAAGATGTTACGCCACAAGCTATAGACCCTTATGACGAGCTGTTGTCCATGATTCTGGATGGTTCTACCAGTACAGACGATGCTGGCTTTTCAAGATTGTCTCCAATAGATTCACCTCCACCTACACTAACCAGTGAATCCCAGAGCAGGTTTAAACTAAACGAAAAAGAAGAATCCCATCAGCCAGCAGTGAAACCCCCAGCAGTTACTCCAGCCAGTGACTCGGCAGGCAGCGTTCGGATAGAGATGCCGTTTCACAAGCTTGTGACAATGGAGCCACTTTCCATCACTTGGGAGGGGCAGTCAAAAACTCTAAGTGAGCAACCGGTTGAGTCGCAGAGACCACCATCGGTGAAAGGAAGGGGATTTACTGAGTTGTTCATTGAGGAAGAGGATGAAGTTAGTGAGGACAAAGAGGACATTAAAGGTTTAAATGAGAGGCTCAGTCCACAGGTAGAGCATGGTGTGAGCTGTGTCTGTTGAGTTTGGAAACACCACAGAGTCCTGGAAGAGAGATGGAGGGAAATGTTTTAAATCTTAGAAAAACAGACCTACTTTTAAATTCGCTTACAAAAGTTTGGCACAAATGTTAATGTACGTGTTTCAGGCAGCCATTACAGAAGCTTGGATGCATTTACAGCAAAGTAGGGTAGAAATAAATGAATTGAATTTCCCTCGGGATTAATAAAGTACCTATCTATCTATCTATCTGTCTATCTGTCTGTCTGTCTGTCTATAATTAGGCATGGAAACTCAAGCCTTAAAATATCACGGTTGTACAGCAAACTGTACATTTACTCAAAAGCATTGGATAGAGAAGTGTTCAGATTCTTTGTACAACTTACAACAACAACAAATACACAAACAAATTACAAATAATTCAATGAAGTATTTTTGCAAATTAGAGTCCTAGAGATGTTTTTTGAATAATGATAATGTAGATGATGATTGTAGAGATGGAAGAAGGTTTTTTCAAAGAGATGGTCCTTTGTATTTCATTGACTAAATTGAAGTGAAAGTCTGAAGAGTAAAAAAAAAAAAAAGTAGCATAAATTACAAGTCCCTTAAATTTTATACAAAAGTACAGTACTTCAAAATCATTTATTTAAAATATTTTCCTCCACGTCTCTTCCAGGGCTCGGTAAAGATCCTCAGCATTTAGCTCCTGTGATTCAGCTTCAGGATTGATGTGTGTGTGTCATTACCTCCATAGGCTGATGTCTCTCCTTCTACTCTGACACGGCTTCCTCACCCCGGCCTCCCCTCACCCTCCACAGCACCACCTCTGACCTCCTTACCTCCTCTGTCCTCTTCTTTTACTTCTTCTTTTACTCCTTTGTCGTCGTCTGTCTCCCGGTCACAACAGCAGGATCGTACCCCCATCCCTCCCTCCATCCCTCCCTCTCCACCTGTCTCCCCTCGGCCCCCATCCCTTCCTCGCCTCATGACATCGTCGCTACCCGCAGTCTCTCTCTCTCCACCTGTCTCACCCCCTCCCCTCCACCCCTCTTCAGCTGTTCCCTCACAGCGCCCTGTCTCTCACCCTCCAAGCTCTCCCTGTCTTCCTCCTGTCACATCCTGCACTGGCACAGAGTCGCCTATTCCTCTTCCTGCTCTGACTCCCCATAAACCTGCCTCTCCTCCCCTCGCCACTCCACGCTCTCCCCCCACTATCCCCGCTGTACCCCATCCAGGACATAGGTCCCCCAAGGTGAAGGTAAAGCTGGAATGTGGAGATGTTGGCGTTGATTTGAGTCATGTTTGTGGTGCTGAGGATTGGTACAAGTCCTCTAACTTTTGTGTCACTGACATCAGTGAAGCTGAGACTGTGGTTGAAGTGACTGGTGAACTAATCAACTGACAGATGAACATGTTTTATATCTGATTAATCCTTTATGTCATTCATGTGAGGAAAATGCCATTACAATTTGATATTTCATTCTGTTTTTTATCATTATAAATTGACTATTTTTACATTTTTGACTGTTTGACAAAAACTGAGCATAGCATTAGTTCAGGCAGGACACAATGTCAAGTGCAGCTCAAACAGCCAATAAACTTATGGAGCAGCTGATTGATGGAAGGGAGTCAGCTGATAGATCACGTGATTCCTTTCTATGCAACCAACTGGCGAATCTCATTCAGGGCGCCCTATTTAAACTGCTCTGGCCTGCCTATTGTTGCTGCTTCCTCTGCAAGCTGCTTTGCAACCTGCCTCCACCCCAGCTCCTCCTTTTCATGCTGTGTCTGACTTATCAATGTCACTTCTGTTTGTCATTGATGCTGCTCTATTCTGTTCACGGGGGGTCTTTGCTGCTGCTCTCCCTGCCTTAGGCTTTCCATGTAGGCGCATGGAAGGGCAGGGAGGTTTGCTGTCTCTGCCTCAAGCTTTCCTTGTCTGCACATGGAAGGGCAGAGAGGTGTGCTCTCTCTGCCTTTAGGCTTCCCACGTGAGCGCATGTAAGGGCAGGGAGGTTTGCTCTCTCCATCTCAGGCTTTCCTCATTTGCACGTGGAAGGGCAGAGAGGTGTGCTCTCTCCACCTCAGGCTTTCCACACAGGCGTGTGGAAGAGGCTTTCTGTGAAGGCCAGAGGAAAGTCAGAGAGGCCCCAGAACAGAGCCATACCGCCAAATATAATACTGCAAATAGAAATCAAGTTTTCTTTGATTAAAGTGTTCCTGACTGAAATACAATCTGGTAAACTGTGATGGCCATTTTTCACTATTTTTGGACTTTTTATAAACTACACGATCAATCAAAATGTGTCAACAGAATAATAGATATGAAATATAATTGTTTGTTGCAGCCGTAGCTTAAAGTTGTGCGTCATTTGTACACTAAAATACATTGTGCACTACCATGTAAGTGATATGGTGTTTATTAATGGACAGTAGAGAGCATTCTTGAATTAGTGTGTTGCTCTCCTTGGTTGTACTGTGGTGTGTTTAGGAGGATTTTCATCAGCATGTGGCTGGATGATGTCTCACAGCATGTCATTAGCCTTGGTGCTTGTGTGTTGAGCTCATGTTGAGGCCTGCTGACTCATTTACTGTTGAAGATTATCGGTTTGTTGCTTCTGGTTTTTCTTGCCTGTTGAGCAGGATCCAGTTGTTGGTGGTAAACCTCCTCGTAGCCCCATCTTGACTCGGAGGTCCTATCTGTCCCCCATTAGAGGTCGAAGGGTAGGAGGGCATGTCTTCATTCACCCATGTTCTGACTGTTCTCTTGTCTCTGTGCAGGAAGGAAATCTTTAGAAATAACCACATCATTCATGACTCATCACCACATATTCTATAACATACATACTAAAGTATAATGTTTTGGAAACACAGTGTTAATTTCCTTAACATGGAGATAAAAGGAGATACTGCAGTATTTCTGCTGTGTTTGGTTGGTTTACTTATTCATGCCTGTCTGGGTATGAAATTATATCTTATTTGTAATGAGTGACAACATCAGACAAGTCTTTCCTTTTAACCTTAAATCCTAAACAAGAGCCTCACAAATATTTTTGTCTGTTTCTGTCTTTCTCACAGCGATTAGTACAGGATGCACTCCATGGCGGAGGAGACCCGTAAGTGATTTATGTTATTGCACACTGATTTGCTGCCATACAAGAAAAGAAAATATTCCTTAGTGCTAAACTGTAGACTGAGCAAGGTATAAAATATGTGTGCAGTTCAGTTTTTACATTTTTAACATATTAACAGAAACGTAGGGAAAATACTGGATGAAGAAGAAAAAGCAGCGGTGGTGGTGATCATGTTACACATGACAGAAAAAGTAGCATCACTGTTGATTAGAGGCGTCAGTTCACCATTTTTCTTTTTCTTACACAGGTACCAGGCCGTGTACAACTATCTGCCTCGCAACGAGGATGAGCTGGAGCTGAAGGAGGGCGACATTGTAGATGTGATGGAAAAGTGTGATGATGGCTGGTTTGTTGGTAAGTATGAGGAGTATGGAGTTAGATTTGTGTCTTTATTACATGTGAGAAAATAAATGATATGATAAAAAAAAAAAATGTTTGAGAGAAAAAGTTTTCACACTGATAGCAAAAAATAATTATGTTTGAGACTAAAAAAAGTTTTGAGACAAAGTATTTTGTCATAGAATATATATAAAAAAAAAAGAGAGATTTAAAAAATGATTTCCAAGAAAAAAAAACTCTCCAAAAACTTTTTTTTACTCTCAAATATTATTTTTTTTGCTATCGGTGTGAAAACATTTTCTATCAAAAAGAATTGTTTCTCTCAAAACATTTTTCTTCTCTCTCTCAAAACCTAAGTCTTTGCTTTTGTGTCAGGATTTTGCTTTCGCTGCAAAAATGTCATGGGCGGGGCCCCGTTCCTATTGGCCAGTCTCAGTCGAATCGACAGCTGGGTGAGGATTGTCTTGGGAGTCGAATTCAACTGAATCATTCATCATCTGTGTCATCATCTTACCCAAACATTGGAGTCTCCGCTCCCAAATAACGCAGCGCATCTATGCCGGTGAATCAACCATGGTGGATGAATGATTCAGTTGAATTCGACTCCCAAGACGATTCTCACCCAGCTGTCAATTTGATTGAGACTGGCCAAATCTAACTCCATAGAGGAGGGGATAAAGGGTTGTACTTGTCTACTAGATACTAGATTTAGAGAAGTGCATGAGTCAAATAGTCGCAATAGTAGTTGGTTGGACTTATTACAATTATTATAATTTCATTAATGCACACATTTTAATTACATATTGACATAATTTGCATTTTAATGTCATGTCTCCCTGGTTAAATGTTACTTTATAAAAAACAAACAACTGTCCCGCAAGAGGTGAGACAGAAAGAGGGTCAAAGATGACATCCTGTAAAACCAGTGTGGTTTGGCAGTACTTTGATTTTATTTAGTAAGTTGTTGCCTAACTACATTAGGACTGTAAATAATGATTATTTTCCACTGCTGATTAATATGTAGATATTTTTTTCCATTAATCAATTAGTTTTTTGGTCTATAAAATGTCAGAAAATGGTGATTAGTGACGTCCTTGAGTGTCTTGTATTGTCCACAACCTGAAGATATTTAGTTTACTGTCACGGAGTTAATTAAGCAGAAATTATTCACATTTAAGATTTTTTCTTATTTTCTTCTACATTTTCTCTTGACAAAATTACTCAAACCAGTGATTGATTTTAAAATTATTTGGCAATTAATTTAATAGTTGACAACTAATGGATATATCTTACAGAACACCTGGACAACAAATGTACACAATGCGAAAAATACAGTAGGTCAAATTGATGCTCTAACTGTCTGATGTGTTTGTGGTCTGGTTGCAAACAAACAGAGACCACTAGATGGCACTGTGATCACACCACACATTTATAACATGACATGTTTAAGAAGTCAACATTGTCCTGTACAGCTGAGTGAGTCGGACAGTCCTGAGAATCTGTCTGACGTGTTAACCTTTACATTCTTCTACAGACAACTTTGCCCTCTAAAGAGGTTTCCATGTGATTAAGTTTGATCTGCAGCTTTGGCTGAGGTCCAGACTGCAGTGAGCTGGAATAATATTAGTGAGCGCTGCTGCTGCTGCTGCTGCTGCTGCTGCTGCCAAGTTTCAGCCAAACCTTCAAACACTGACAATCTCATTTTATTGCTCTTTGTTTTTGAAGGGACCTCTCGAAGGAGCAAGTTGTTTGGAACCTTCCCAGGAAACTACGTGAAGCAGCTATAATGATGATTCCAGACTCCCTCCCCTCTGGCCCCGCCCCTTCCTGTGACACGTTCATCGCCCTCAGCACAGCACCCGCAGGACACCACATACCAACACTGGTCCCCCAAGACCTGTTGCACATTTCTGTGTTTGCGTGTTATGTGTGGCTGGTCAGCTTCACACAGACAGAACATTTAGCTCTAACTAGCCATCTTTAAAGGAAGACTTCTATAAAATAATGTTGTTTTTTTAATCTTATCTTTTTATCCTTATTTTTCTATCATGGAGAACCCAAACTTTGTGCTCCAGTCAGTGACCTTTAACTTTTGACTGTGATAGAAGGATGTGAAAGGAACTTTGCAAACAGTCAAAGATAGAAAACAGGGCACGGCAGCGATGCTTTTCTTCCTGTTAAAGGGCAGTAAGATCACTTTTTTTAATTTTCCCGCAGTATCTCAAACATAAAAACACTTGTTACATTTCATTTCAGTGTTCACTAACAAATATCCCCAAAGACGTTACAGTGCAGAGAGTGTTGTAAACAGTATTCTGTCAGCAGGTCTGTTGTGTACAAGCTGTGTTGAAGGGATTGCAGCCATGCAGCTGATATTTCAGGTAAAAGGATGTTAGATCCACGCTTACAGGACTGTAAAGACTGTGCATGTATCAATGTTATGTGTCGCCCGAGGTGCTGATTGGTTGATAAGAATTTGGGGATATGAAACACGATCATTATGAAGCAATCATTTCAAATATCGCAAATGAGGAAGTAGGAAAAATATCGGCACTGTTGCACTTGCTGTCTAAACCTAATACAATAGATTTAAAGTTTAAGATTAGAAAACACAAAAATATTTTGGACTTGTTGGTTCTTCATCTTCACGCTAGGATTAATGCACTTTAAGGAAACTTTAACACAATTTCTTGTGTTTTATCTCAAATGTCACTTCAGATTTTACACACCAGGTGTTAAAGGTTCAGTGTGAAGGTTTTAGTGGCATATAATGGCAGAAATTGAACATAATATAACAATTATGTTTTTTTTAGTGTATAATCACCTGAAAATAAGAACAGTCGTGCCTCCATGACCTGAGAATGAGTCGTTTATAGAGCCGTACGCATGCCTCGTTTTGCGCCCTTAAATTCATTGTTTTCAATGTTGACAAGCGCCTACGTTTCAGGGCGCAGTAGCTGTGCCCCAAGATAAACCAAGTGTAACTTTTGGAACACAGCAGTGTGCATGCCAGTCACAGCAGACAGATACCTTTCCCTTCTTTCGTAAATCTCAGTCTGTGGTAACTATAGAAAAGTTGATTATTTTGGTGCAGGACTGCCAGAGCTTTTCATCTGTCCCACGGACAGCGCCTGGAAGAAGATCAGCTCTGCACTCAGTATTTCAGGTTAATAGGCTATGATATGGTGCTTGTTGAGGTTGCTTGGCAACCGCAGACACAACATGCTGGTGCACTCCTGAAAGCTGGCTCGAAAAAGGCACAAAAGAAGTGCCCAGGACCCAACCTCAAATTTCCCAGGCGGTTAAAGACGCAGCATGTGTACCGATCCCGATATCTACATAGGGAGCGGGTTCTCATCCACGGGGATGGCTCTGTTACACCGCCATGTTTCTACAGTGGCCCAGAATGGACAAACTAAACACTGGCTCTAGATAGGGTCGTTCCCGTTCTTTAGATTTTCGGCCATTGTAGTTAGCAGCCCCTTTGTGACGAGCAGTGTTGGAAAAACACTAATTGTTTTTAACGTGAAACTGCATTATTCGCTGTTTTTACCAGTTTTAATCACCCGGTCCATTTGTCTCGGAGAGGAGGAGACCTCTGCTGATAATTTAGCGCCTAAACAATCAACACCAAAGGAATCTTAACCGGGAGTTTACGCTTGGTACATGGCAGAAGTTCAATTTGTTATAATCTGCAGTCCTCACCACGAGAGACCACTAAATCCTTCACACTGCTCCTTTAAAATGTCTGTGGGCCTTTGCAGTATATTGGTCATGTTTGAAAAGTGTATGCATAAAGGCTACCAACCTTTTAGGTATTATATTTATAAGAGGACAAGTGCTGGTTGAACTGTGTTATGAGACGATTTTAGAAAAGATGGAACAACAGGATGCTTTTCTAACATCTTTGAACAGCAGCAAACCCACATATGAAGGACTATTTTATTGTATCAGTGCCCAGATCAGTGCTGAGTGACAACAGGACAGTTCATGATGGTGTCATTATGTTTTATGTTGAATTATTTAAGTGAGACGCAGGATGAGATAGCGTTTTACGAAACAAAAACTCCAGTCACACAACTGCAGTTTTTCCACTAGATTTCGGTGGCATCTTCTAACCCTGTTGTCAGAGCTTGTGGGTCACTGTTTCATGTAATTATATACTATTTGGAATTATCATCATCTTAGCTTGTCATGCTCAGTGAATATATTTTATGTTTTTGTTTCTCATTTTACGTGTTTCACATAGGATGGACACTGACAACAAAGCAATTGTTAAAGCACCTTAAGATATATTTTGTTTTATCATTCATTGTCCTTCACGTCACCCCCCTGTCATCCACTATCTCAGCTGGTGTGACAACACTCCGTGTGTGTGTGTGTGCGTGTGTGTGTGTCTGTGGTGTTTTTGTAAGCCTTTTGTATGAGAGCTGTAAAATGGCCAACATCCACATGCTTTATAAAGTCAGCTTTTTCTCACCCACCATCACATTTGGTTTCTTCTCTTTCTTTCCTCACATTCTTCATCAGTGGTGCTAATTTCCACTTTTTTCAGACTTATTATTGTAGCCAGGCATGTAGGCCTTTCTTTCCTCCAGTTATCTGTTGTTTTAAGAGCCAGTGACGTATTTAAACTGAAGTTACTGTAGTTAGAGTCGAGTAGAGTTGGTGATTGCTGCCTTACATCCAACTCACTAATTTAATAGCCATGTATATGTAAACCTCTTCTGTGATGCAAAAAATTAATTTATGCATATATAGTCTAGAAAAACATCAGGAAAGTGTGCACAGAGCGCGATCACAAACTCTAGTCCACCTTTGATACATCGTTAGGAACAGATTTGGATTGAAGACGAGAATTTGACTCCTGATATGTTTATACATGTAATGAAAATGTTAATCTTATATGTTATTCATGTTAATATCAAATTCAATGCACACTCTTGGACCTAAGTATTTCTACAGTATCTTAGCATTTTGTTGGATGATTTTATGGGGCTGTATTGCTAATAAAATCCAGCTGGTAGATGAAATATTTCACCCTTTTTCCCCTTTTAGCCGAACAGAAAAGAAAACTGTTGATGGCTGAAAAGGAAATCTCATTTATGATGTTTAAAGGTATGTTGCTGAGACTCTGACCTGCTGACCTCTTTCCTATCCTTTTATTTCAAGCACAGAGGTGATGTTACACACTTTGACGTCCTCTCTATTTCACACAATTCCACACATGAACAGTTGGTGGCGGTAATGTGCTGATCAAAAAGAAGAAGTTTCAAAAGCCTCAAGAAAAGGGCTTTTGCAAAAAGTAAAAGCACAAAGCTTTGGATACATGCAACACACATGTACAAACAACTCCACAGGCTACACGGGGTATCTTTATACATTCTTGTTATTGCTGACCTCGCATGGTCTAAAGGAAAAGGCTGGTGACACCTATTGTTCTTACTGTTCACAAATTTCAGGAGAAGACCAAAGACAGCAGTTCTCAAGTCCGTCTCTCAGTACTTTCTGACTTCCCCACAGTCATGTAGCTGCAAGCCTGTTTCTGAGGCTGGTCATGGTTGTATAGGTTATTCTTTAACCCTTTGAAATCTGAGTAAATTGGCTTGATTTTTGTTTTAAAAAAAAAAACATGGGAAGAAGGCAATTGGCAACAAAAGAAATGACCCAAAAAATGAAAACAAGAAAATTAGTTTAAAAAAAAGAAAGAAAGAAATTAAAAAATAAAGAAAGAATGAAATGACCAGGAAAAATTATAATAATTCTCTACCATAATTTTAAAATGTGATAATAATTATAAATATAGTTTTTCCCTGATTTTTTTCCCTTTTTCCCTAGTTTTTTTTTTTTTTTTACAATAATTTTCTTTTCCTTTTTGTGCAATTTGTGGGACATTTCTTACCAAGTTGCTTACTGCCTTTTTTCCTATGTTTTTGACAGAAATTGTGCCAATTTGCCCAGGGTTCAAAGGTTTAAATACTTAGGCATCTGAAAGCGGGACAAGAAAAGTGTTTCTCCAGGTTTCAAAGGGTTAAAAGGGGTTAGTAACTTATGAACAGCTAGGCACTGTAGGCTACTCAAATACGAGTAAATATTCTATTTCTTGGGGGTCTTCTAAAGCTGTGGATTAACATACTAAGTGATCCAGTGAGTATTTACAGCAGCAGGAAGGTGTATATGTGGTGGTGACACAAAAGGAAAATAAACTATGGTGCCTGTGTTCATAGTAATGAAGGAACATGTTCCTGAGTGAAACACTGTGGCTCATTAATGTGTTTTTGGACAATACTGGAGGTCCAGGGCAGACAGAACTAAGCTACATCAGGCTTTAGCAATACAAGCAATGCTTGGAATGCCAGTCAACATTTGTATGTGGTTAGTAAATGAGCTCAAAAAGTGGGCCCTGTATGTGGCTGTCCATGGGTTCTATTTTAGCCCCATGCTAATTGCACACATGGATGAGTTTACCCAAGTGGACCTAAATAGGTAATGCTGCAGCTACCTGGGCACCAAGTGGGTATGGGCCCAAAATGGGCTTCTTATCTCGGGCACACTTGAGTAAAACCACCTATGTGGGCAAAAAGCATGGCACCATTATGGAACCCTTGGACAGTCACATATAGGGCCCATTTTTCAACTCATTACTACCCACTTGGGCCCCACATACAAATGTTGGATGGGAATACTTCACCCACCAAATGATCACCTGTGTATAAATTACTCACTGTGTGTGATCTATTCTTGAAGAAAAGTTTTTTTTTCTCGCATCCTTCCACAGTGAACAAAGAATCCAAAAATAGACAGAAGTCTGGAATTGAAGTAAAACAGGGCCGTGTTTAACAACATCAAAACTATATCAAAACATCCGTTCACAAACTCTCACACAACTCGTGGTGTAATCTACGTCAGTTATCCAGTCCTGTACTTAGTACAGGGCAGCTGTGGCTCAGAGGTAGAGCGGGTCATCCCCTTATCCAAAGCTCAACAGTTGGATCCTTAGCTGAAGTATTCCTTAAAAAACTTGAATTAACCATTAGTTTGAATTGTTGCTGATAACAAAGAATAATAATCACCAGACTTGTCCTTTAACTTCTCAGCTTGCTGCAGTGATGTGCAATACTGTGTTCACACTATGAGCAACAAGGCAACAGCATGACCAGCTACATTATCACTTAGTCATTTAGCAACACTTAGTCGTTAAAGTGTTGTTCAGACACCTCTTAACATAGTTACATCATCGCAGACTCGTGTGTGTTAGCTAATTGCCACAAAGCCAACACATTCTCACTCCATTCTCACATTCTGTGGTTGTTGACGTTCTGAGACGCCTAGTCAAGTTCTGCCTGTTACATGCATTGTCTTCTTTCAAAATATACTTCCATTTTCGCAGGAAATTTACCATTCACATACAGTCTCTTTCAAAATAAACACACTGTGTCAGTACAACAATGCAAATTGATGTTTTTCTCTTCCAACAACTAACTAGGTTTAGGAAGAAAAGTACATGGTTAAGTTTAGAAAAAAATCAGGGTTTGGCTTTAGAATCTTACAGGACTTGAATACCACTCCCCCGGGTGAAGTTTGGTGTTTGTTGGACCCATCCTTCACCCCTCCAACCCACCCTAATCAGACTTTTGCCACCTTAACTTTCGTTCTTGTCCCGCTGCATTTTCCCTTGACGCCCCCAAGCACCATTAAACTATAATGGCAACCGGCCACGTATCATGCCGACATTAAAGGACAGCTTTTTTTGTCACCATCTGACGCCGCAAGTCACTGCCTAAGCACTGGGTTTCGACAACTTCGGAGTGAGATCGCCCCATTGCATCCCTGTGTGCACATACAGCTAGCATAGTGTCAGCTAACTAAGCTAACAACAAACATATGATTGGTTGACACTTCATGGCATCATAGGAGCAGTGAAAAAAGTTGAAGCCAGCTCAACTTTGATTTGTAGCGTGTCACACCCATCAGCAGAGATAAATGTCAGGCGTCAGTTTGTAGCTTCATGTCACTGGCCTCCATTGAAAATGAACTGTACTCGATTGCCTTGCTGCTTGTGAGTGTGCTCCAGGGTGTGTCAGTACAGCGTGACATCATTGTTGAGTGTGGTTACAGGTGAAACACACTTGAAACCTTTTAGCCAGAAACTACAGCCTTAAAATCAGAAGTAGGCTACATGTTTTATGATTTTTGTAGAATACCAAAACAGGCCTTGCAATGCACCTCCTTGTTATTTTCAAAGGGTGTACTGATGCTCTAACAACCATTGTTTCAGCTGTTATGTGTTATAAGAGTCACATAGGTCAATTTTAATGTGCATGTCTTTAACAAGTCAAGCATACACAAGGGGAGAGTTTATATAACTGGTTTATGGTAAACTTAATGCAGGCAGACTCTTATTATGTTTGCAAAGAAAGAGACATTTTGGAGTATGAATGCTCCATCATCCACATCCCTTTTTGTCCGGGAGTTTCATCGTCATGGTAACTGCAGAAACAAACCATGAATCCGCTCCACTTTATAACACATGCATCAAATGAGATTTTCAAGGCTGTATGCGGTTGATGGATTTCATGGAAATATTATTAATTTGCACGATTGTTTAAAAGGCAGTTTGATTAATCGCCACAATGGAAAAACAGAGCGAAGGTTTATCAGTGCTGACACAAACCTCACTCACAGTTTGTTGACTAAGTGCTGTCGTCGCCACATAAAGCCTTCTGTGTTTTCATAATTTTGGATATAATGCAGACATGAAAGCCATGCAGACACGAGAAAATTATCAGCCGACTGGAATGAAACACTGTGATCATAAACAAGCAGCGCAGCGAGGAAGGTTTTTGAAGGCTAGAGGAAATCCTTTATTTTAACAGCAAGGACAGACGCAGATATAAACACAGAAAAAAAAAGGATGATGTGTTGGAAAACTGTTGAAACTGGATTGTTGACAAGCTCAGGGGTGAGTGTCCTGGGTCCCATCCAGATCAATAGTGGCTGGAATGTGCCTGTGGGACCTCCAGGGCCTCAGAGCGGAGCTGCGCCTCCAGACCAAATAAGGACAGGAGCAGCAAGACCCGTCAACCAGAGCGAGAGGAGGCCAGCCAGACTGTAAGCTGCCCAGGGATGAGAAGTGATGGTGGTGGTGGGGGGGCTGGTTAACATCTTCACTCTGTCTACAAGTGTCTATATAAGTATGCACACTGTGAGCCAACACTGGATTTGTTCAGGATGACTGAAGCTTCAGTGGCATTTGATTTAAGAGGCAAAACATTTCTGTCTTTTTGGAGTGAGAAGTAGCAAGAGAGAAAAGTAGACACAAGAAAAATTGCTCAATAAAATCAGGAAAACTGGCAACCAAGTGCTGGCAGAGCAGTCCCGGAGCCAGTCTCCAAAATCTGACCAATTACTTCACTGCTGGGGTGGGATCTGTCCATTCTCCTCCCCCCTGCACCCACCCACATGGGTCAAAATCTCCATCACTTTGATACTCCTTTGCTCTTTAACTTTGTGCCCCACAGCGTGCAGTGTGCTCTCTGTGCTGCTGTTATCTAACAGCGGGGAGACATTAAAGGGTCATGCCAGTCACTGTCGTGTTGGACGGTCCGGCCCCCTGGGGGTTTCGCCTGACGGGAGGGAAGGACTTCAACCAGCCTCTGACCATCTCCAGGGTGAGTGAGTGAGAGGATGACTCTGTTATAACAACACAAGAAGGATTCAGAATACTTTCCTCTGAATAACTTGATTAAAAGAAAGACTTTTCTCAGATTTCATGTCTTAACTGATCATTTAAAAAGATAAAGAATGTGACAATGTGAGTGTGGTTTAATCCCCTGGTGGTGCAGTCCAGAGGAGTGTGTGTTTGTGTTAGCATCAGCTTTGTGTTTCCAGGATGGTTCATTCTAGAAAGAGTGTGTCTGGACTGGCACGAGGCTTGCACCTGTGCCACAGTAAATGCATGAGGCTTAGATACAAATAGCAACTTACATTGTGCTCTGACATGCACACACACACTCACTCACTATGTCTCACTGAGTGGATGTCAGACTGAAGAGTTTAGAGGCACGGTGAGGTCACGCAGAGTGGGTGGATTAATTCTGAATTGTGAAAATTATGAAACAAAAATCCATGTTATAATTAAATCCTCCATACTTTCATGCTGACAGTCAAGTCATCATGATTTTGTCAGTGATCAGAGAGCACAGTGTGACTGTAAATGCATCAATATGAAACGTCTATTATAACAGTTAGTGAACGGTCAGCTGAGGGTCAACACGCAGCATCACACAGCTTGTCGTCATCGTAGACTGACAGCTCAAGCAGAGCTGTGAGATGAAGACAGATTACATGTGTAAAACTGAACAACTGATTCATTTACTCACAGTGAGCACATTACTGACACTTTGGACGAACCACAGGATTTATTATAAGACAGAAGACAGTGGCCACTGATACAGATTGGCAAATTGGAGTGATGAAAGTGATCATTTCCTGGACAAAATATGGCATTTCCTGTTTATACCAAGTACAACTGAACAACATGAAAAAACACCAGATGGTTCGTGATAAGAATTTATTCCATTTAAAGGAGCACTTCATGTTTATATGCCTCGTCTTGGTGAGAGATAGATGAGAAGATCCACTCTGATGTTCGTATGGTAAATGCATAGCTTGGGCTAGCAGACAGTTAGCCTAGCTTAGCACAAAGACTGGAAACAAAGGGAAACAACTAGCCTGGTTCTGTCTATAGGTAACAAAATCTAAAACCGAAACTACAACCAGTTCCTCTTGGACATAGAGCACCTGGGTGGACATGTTCATTTTGGTCCTTTTTTTACAGCACCACCGTTGGCACCTTCTGCAACTCTTTGCCATCTCAACTACAAATTTGGTTAATCTCCATCCAAGCAGCGCTCGAACGTCATTTCAAATTTGTTTTTTGCGTTTTAAAGCTAGACTGAACAAGAAACATATATAAAAGTAGAAGTAACCATCATGACATTTTCACTGTTTACTAACCTTGTTTTGATGTGTGTTTGTGACCCTGAACGTGACACACTTGGGGAAAAAAAAACACAGAACTCGTCTACTCTAATATACCAGGTGTTTTTGGTTAAAAAGGGTATGAGTCGCACTTTATATCTCAATCCTGGAGTCTCCAAAACCCTCCGTATAAACAGCAAATTTTCGTAAAGACATAACGTGCTGGCGAGAAGCAGATTTTGTTTCGTTTTGTCGATCTTTATGCTAAGCTAAGCTAACCTTCTCCTGGTTGTAGTGGCATACGTAATGGAGTCATGTGAGAGTGGTAGGCCTGTCAATCTTGTAACTCTCAACACGTGACAAAGACACACAAAAAAACAAAAAATTGAACAACAAAGATGAGAGGACAGACTGATAAGGGGAATCAATAAATGATTAGCGGAAAAGGAGAAACATGAAAAAGTCAGTATACAAAGAAATGCACAACATACAGCAAAGTAAACATATAAAGCAATATACCATCACTACCATAATAAAAATACTACCTCACAAAAACAGCAGCAGACTCTTCAAACAATAGAGACAAACTGTCTGACTATGGACAGTGGTGTCTTCATCAGCAGTCAGATTTGACTGCTGTATCCCTGCTGTTACACAGGATCAGATGTGAGGAGACCCAGTAATCCGGCTCTGTTGGGGTTATGTGCATCTATATTTAGGGAAAGACCTCAGGAACTACTGACTAAAAGCATAGTTAGCTCTCCAAACCACTGGGTCTGTCCAATAACCCACCACCTGTTGTGTTAGGAGACACTGTGATGAGAGAAGACTGGGATGGACGAGGAAGAGAGGGGGTAAATGATACATGAGCAGTAACACAAGAAGAGACGTGTTAAAATGTGCTTGAATTGGGGGGAAGTACATTAGAGAAAGATATACAGTAAAGTTAAACCTGACTGAAACATCTCAGCGGCACGTTCGCTGTGTATGAACCCTCAGATTTCATTTGAACACAAGTGAATCCAGTTTCTCCCTTCACTGCCATGTTTGGTCAGGAACATCCTCCTCTTTACGACTCGCCGGTGTTCCCAGCTGGTCGAGGAAAGTAAACACAAGTGATAGTCATCTTATTCTTCAGCAGACAGCAGCCTTAAAGAGGCAGTCCACTGAATTTACACATCAAGATCCATTTACTTGATCCTCATGTCATAGAGAGAACTGAGCCTGTGGAAGCAGTTGTATACTGTCTGCTGTCACGTCTGACAAAATAACCCTGGTGATGTCATCAGGGTTATTCTAGCTTGAATGTGGAGACTGGAAATGTATTAACAGTAAAGGCCTTTATACACCAAGTCCATATTTTCTTCCAAAATTGGCAAACATTTAAAACATAAATAAGACGTCGTGTTGTATCAATCACGTTTACACATGACTCGAAACTTTCATCCGTCATTTAAGTTTTTGACACAGGTTTTTGTGTTTTTTTTGCATCCGTCAAAAGCCTTGAGGGAGTTTGCTGACCAAGCAGCAGTGAAGTAAATAGGGTGCAACCTGTGAGACACCCAGCCAGAGAGGGGTTCAGGGCAGAAGTGGACAGGGAGCAGCAAGATAAAGAAGTGGAAATATATGGAAGTAGTGTCTTCCTTGAAATCTTCCATGACAGAGACAAGGTAACATTGGCCTATACAGAAATGGAAAACAGCCATGATGATGCAACCTGGTTTCACCCCGAAGATGTCAAAATCCAGCGTTTGAGTAGTGGCTTGCGGTGTCAGACACTGATGAAAAAGCCGTCCCTTCACTTCATGTTACTCAGCCGCTCAACAGCATCAGGGGGAAACGCAGTGAGACAAGAACGAAAGTTAAGGCGACGAAAGTCCTAGTAGGGTGGGCGGAAGTGGCGGTGGACTTTCATCTGGAAGAGCAGTGTTCACATCCCTAAAGGTTTTTTTTTTTTAAACCTAATCACATGCTTTTGTTGCCTAAACTCAACCACGTACGTTAGTTGTTGAAGGAAAAAAATCATCAGTAAGCGCTGACGCAGTGCTTTTATTTTGAAGGAGACAGTACTTACGTATGTAAGTCTGAGACAGTATGTAAACAACCAATGCACCCAGGGTACCTTTCACGTCGAATCTGGACATGGACAGTCAATGACCAAACATCAATATGTGACAAGGTCAGAGTGAGAATGTGTTTGATGATACTTACAGCAGAGTGAAATTTATTAGCCGTACAGTATCATTTCATAACTCAGGTAGCTGCGGAGCCGAACACAAGATGCAGGCTGAGAGTGCGGACATTCTGAGAGGTACCTCGTGTGGAGAGAAGCAAGGACACAAATATGTCGATCCATTTTGCCTCATATTGCAATTTTTTCCAACAAATAGAACAATAAAACGCATTAGACTCTGTGTGCAAGGTTTCTTTGCGTGATGATTTAACTGATGATGCATTTAAAAAACACATACAAGAAATACAGACTTGGTGTAAAAATTTAGAGCATCAACAGTAGAGATGTTCAGATAGACTCTGGTACTGCCTAAAATGCTGTAATTGGGGATTGGTGAGAACGCAAGTCTGTGCACTGATCTGAGACCATGTCATTTATTTATTTATTAACTTAAAAGTACATTATCATCTGAAAATCAGTTCTTCTTTACTGTTTTAAAGTGGTAGCCTACACAAAGAGTTGCACTGTGCGGCCTCTGGCAACTACTGTTTTACAGTGGCTAGGGTTAGGGCTAGAAGGGTTAGGGAAAGAATTAATTGCCAATAAATAGTGCAAAGTTAATTATTAGCAAAATGTCAGCAATTTGGCAATATTGTACATCAGAAAGTCCCAGCACTTTAGGGTTTAACCTGAGCCATTGACTCATAAGTGGGACCACGTCAGGATATCTAAGCCTCTGCTGCATCAGTTTTAGCTATTCCTTTTGTAACCTGTCATTTTTTCGAATCCTAACTTCATACCAATATTAAATAATTTTTGGCCACGTGGGGGCAGCGCAACAAGCTGTAATCAGCAAATTGTTGCCTCCAAACGCATCCAGCAGAGAGAGAAATTTTAGCATTCATTTTGAGTTGTGTCTCTGGGCACTCAGTAAAAGTAAGTCCAATCTTCTTTTAGCTCTGCTTTGTCTCCACCAACTCCTGAGGGAAGTAACTGTCTCTTTAGCTGCTGAATGCTCCGCAGTGTTCACCAGCTAGTGGCTAAAATTGTCAGGCCGCAGAGTCAGCTGTTAATTCTCTGTGGGTTTGTCACTATGAGCGACCCCTTTTACTTTACACATAGTAATGCGATCCATTGTTGATAGAAAAATTATTGATGAATGCAGCTTTAAATACACCTGGAATACTCCTTTAAGTGACAAGGATTTAGAGTCACATCTGCAAACACTGCGACCCAGAATGGTTTCCCCGAGGCTGTACTTAAGTTTATCACTGTAATTGGATTATCTCGTCCTTTCTTGATTCCTTATTTACTTTTACACTGCATTTCATTCATACTTTTGTTTTACTTCCAAAACTACTCAGACACATATTTATCAACTTTCCTTAAGTATCCAAAATAACAGTAATAACAGGGAAGAATAGAAGAATTTAGTTTTGGGGATTTTTATGCTTGTAGATCAGTTGAGAAAAGAAAAGACGGAAGTAAAGACAGTAGACAAGATGTCAGGAAAAA